GGGAGTCATGGTGGTTCTGGAGAGCTGTCACTCTTCATGTAATCGTTTGAATTCCCCGGAGGCGGCTGTAACTTGTTGGACGTTCTTCATTTTACAGGCGGTGATTGAGCGTTTTCGAGCCTTCAGCTTTCGAACTCTTGCAAATCCCAGTTGTAATACGGCGTGCACTACTAGTACATACTTTATGTTGACCTATGTGAAGCCGTGAATGTGGATCAGTTGAAGAAGTGATATACCGACGGGGGATCTCAAAACTGATTGCTCTGACTACTAATTAATGTACAATCAACATTTCGTTGGATTGAGAAGCTACAATAAGGTTGTGACAAAAGTTTTCTTTGGCTGTCATTTCGCCGTCTTCGTCTTCTTCAAAGTTGCGATGATTTGAATCAATCGTCTACGCAACCGTTCGCTCCCACGATTGACCATATTGGTCTTTGAAGACGTTAGCCTAATAGAACCTTTGTAACAAGCTTGTGATAGTTGCCCAAGGAAGTATTGATTTTTCACGCCGAGGTTAAGTCAAGGTCGGTTTCAAGAACTGTTTTGTGTATTTCTTTAAATTCTTTTCCACATAGCTGTTATGGGGATTCATTTAAGAACCAAGGGAATCTCCATATCTCTCCATGAGGGCTACGAATTAACGACAGGTTCTGTCTCGGGTGGAATTTTACTTTTGTGAAAGAGACTGTAAGTGTTTGTCGGCTTTGTTCTGTACTACCGTCAACAACATGATATCATCTGAACTTCATAGCTTCTTGCATGACATCGTTACGCTCGTAACGTCGAATCACTTGCATTTCAAAATAGCTGCGTCGTGAATAACTGAATATGCGAAATATGTTTGAATGAGTCAAGAAGGGTGAATATTTTTGAAGAATGGTAAGGAGATGCGGGATTGATAAGTTTGTTTGCAGCTTAAAGTTATTATTTCTTAAGTACAGTGAGCTAGGGACATAATTTTTAGTAAAATACTATGTATTGACTAATTGAAAGATACGCCTTGACAAGAAGTCATCGACGTCACAGACCTGATCTCCATTTCACTGTTGTTTTCCTAATTTAGCAACAAGCAAGGCTATTTTCTCGGGGTTTCGAAGAAGCTTTGTTAAGGCGTCTACAATAAATCGTCGTTCACTGAGGTTAGAGAAAGATGGAGGAAGGAGGGAGAGAGAGAGGAAGCAATTTATCGCCAAGTAGATCCTCTACATTCACGTAGAACCATGATCCTACATTCCCTCTAGGATCATGGCGGGTCCTATAATCACTCTGAGTTAGCCTGTGAGATTTAGATTTCGAACTCGTTTTCAGCATAGGTGATCCTTCTGTGGAGATAAACCCTGTATTTCGCAGTCCGGCATCAGGTAAAACCCTTTCGCCATGGTGAGGTGATAGGACATCCGGGGGCATTATTCATTTTCTGTTCAGTATTATCTCTTCTGTTTTGCTGTGGACTCGTATATCGATTTCGTAATACAAACATCATTTAAACAGGATATTTGAAAGTATTTGAAACCATAGGTCATTTGATTGCGTGCTGAGGATCTTTTCGGAGTTGTCTTCATTGTTTGGAAATCTCTTAATATTTCTCAAGTTTGAAATAAGGAACGAGAGAAGCAAAGGATGTCGAAACACTTGTAATTTGTAGGGTTACGGTCGAGTTGCCCTTATTTTGCCGAATTTGATTCGTTGCATAGAGTTAGGACATAAAATTCATCTGACATCTCATGTCTAGGGGATTTAACCAATAAGTTTGACTTAAATCTTTATTAATTATGTTTTATTCAGCGATAGCAATATAGCGAACAAGGCTAGCCATCTAAAAACTAAAGTTTCTGACTTTACCATTAGACCCATCGTTTCTAACGACCCTGGTTTTGATTATGCTGTCGTTGTTAGTCGTTAGATTAACCTAATTAAAGAGTGGCTTTGATTGCTACGACAGGCGCTGGCGCGGTCGTCGTGACTTTCTTCGGTGTAATCCCTCGGTTGCCTATGGCCAAGGCTTCCATACAAGAATTTCGGAGGTGGCCCGCAAATCGATCTTGTCTCTGGGGGCTTGAGCCAGGAGTGAGGCTTTAGCACGGATTGAGAGTGCGCTGTCGCAGAGGAGTGTCGTGATTGATGTGAAGAGGTCGTGGCACTAGTGAGTTGAGTGCGCGTGCAATTCACGGCAATTCTATACTTGTTAACAGAAATTCGAGCACAAGTTTACACTGATTCATCAGAACTTCTGACGTTCGACGTGGTTTAGCATAATTTTATACTCTTAAGAATTCCATCCTAATAATAAAATTCGTTTTATAAATGTGTATTACTCGTTGTGGCCTGAAACTTTGTATAACACAAAGCGATCCTAGAATTATGGTCCTAACCTCAATTTTTTTGTGCTGTAATTCTCGTGGGTGTAATTTATGTCCTCATAATTGTAGAAACGGCTACTTACTTACCTGTGCAGCCCATCTGCACTGGTTTTTCCGGTCCCAGCAAGATTTCCACTAGTTTCTTTCTCGTGTAATTGCCGTCCATGGTGGTGATCTGCTTCGAACATGTTGACGTCTTTGAGGCCCACGATTGTGGAAATATGTAAGGAAAATAGATAATAATGATAATGACACCGACTTCTGCAGGACTGATTGTCCGGAAAAAAACAAGTTACAATCACCGGACTATCACAGCTGTCAACCATCGATATCCTGCATAAAAGGGCATCACCGAGTGAGTATGCCTCATTCGAGGAGATGGTCCGCTGAGGAAGACCTGATTCGACGAGAAGGCGAAGCCGTCACATCGAGACGAAAAACAAGCGTGGACCATTTACTCGGATCATCGGCTCTGATGATGCCGAAGATGTCGAAACATTTAGCCGAAAATAAATATATTTATAAACCTCGTGTAAGGTCATCAAAGAAAGAATATATGAACAAAATAGGAAAAAAATTGAATTGTCAGATAGAAAGAACGAGTGGTGTGAACGCTGGACTTTGGAAGCAGAGCTGGATAACGTGTTGATTTTTTTTTTTGAAAGATAGATAACCATACACATAGTTGGGAGGGAGTGTTTAATTGTTTAGAAAACTAGGATTTTGAAAGTGCTGTGGTAAGATTTATGTTTTAGACTGTAAGCGAAGATAGTTGGATTTCGCCGTTGATCCGAATCGCATCACTTTATGGTCTAAGATGAAACGGTTTTCGGTGGATTAGTTTTAAGTCTTTGGGAAGTAGTTTGACTCGGACTTGCTTCAGAAGGATTCTCAGAGGATATCTTTGATAGTTGAGGTTGCCACACAGGATGTGGAATTTTTAAGCTCACATTCGTGGTAGGTTGCTTAATCGGAGGTGGAAGAGCTAGTATGTGTTCTTCGAGAGGAATGTGTGACTCAAGAGGCATTATTTCGCAGTACAATAGACCGCCACTATTAAAGACATGGTAGGTAGTTCTACTTCCTTCCTCTCTTTAGGCCAATTCTTATACACTTCAAGTGGAATGAGCTACTAGCAAAGTCGTTGCAAAATCCTAAATTGTCGATTGGCAGACCATCGAAGGCTATTATGAGAGCTTCGTTCACATTAACTGAATCAGTGAGTCTTTAGATGGAAGAGACATGTTCGCTCACATGTCAGTGGTAGTATGGACGAATATTTAGCACTTTCTGGAAATGGAACGTTGCTAAAAAAGAATTCCAAAATATTTTCCTTCACGTCATTGTCAGCCTATGAAAATCGTGCCAGTACCTTTTCCTCTTCTTTTGGTCTTCTTCCCGAGCGTAGCACTTTGTAACTACTCAAGCGTGATACACTTCCTGGGATCTTTATTTTCTAGGATTTTCCTTTTTTTTTCGTCCTCCACTTCTTCGGTTTGAAACGGAACATAAGCATTTATTTTTACGAAGTGACTGCATTTACTATTAACAGGCTAGCTAACTGCAGTCTTTTAGTGAAAACAACTATATTGCCTAGGACCTTCTGATGTTAATAAATCGGTCTCATCAAATAAAACTATTTCTAGGCTTATTTCTTGAAATCCATGATGCTGTAATATTCATATAATAAAAGAGTGACGATTCTTTAAGTTCAATGATGCTGAGATATTTGCAAAACTTCGGACCGCAGGTATCTGCGGTGGGGAACGAACGCGCTATTGTTCTTTCCGGAGAGTAACGCGTTCACCACCACACCATGCGTGTTCTTCGTTTCGTAAGTCTCTCAGCTAGTTCTGTCGATCTTTTGCCATCAGCAATTACCCGTTAGCGGGATTGACCTGGGGAGCCCAAATCAGCAACGAACCCGGTTAAACTGAAGTTAAAAAGAGTAGACAGTAAATAATAGGTTAAACTGGGTTCGTTGCCGATTTTAGTTTCCTAGATCAATCCCGCTGACGGGTAGGATTGATGGCACGGACCGATAGAACTAACTTAGAGATAGGCGAAACGAAGGACCCGCATGGTGTGGTGGTGAACGCGTTAATACCCGGAAAGGACAATAGCGCGTTCGTTCCCCACCGCATACACCTGCGATCCGGGATTTTGCAAATATCTCAGCATCATTGAGGTTATATTTCGTAATATATACCCTGCCGTTAAAAGGAGTAGGCAGTAAATGATAAGTTAAAATTTTGATTTTCGCCTTCCTCGGAGCCGCTTTCTATGAGGTCTCCACTATGTCACGTAGAGACCAACCGCACAGAAATCGCATGGAAGTATAATGTCTTTGATTCTTTAAGTTATCCGTGCTAGTTTTAGCAGAAATATTAGTGATTTAGCGATTCTCGCCAGAGTAAAGTTGCTAAGAGTTGGTCAAATACATAAGAGTAAATCAGTCCCAAGCCTGTGTATGCCTGAAAGAAAGCAGCGGAAAAAATTATGGAGCACCGTATTCATATCTGAGTGTAACGCTGAGACTGTTTGTTTATTCCAGGAAAACTTCTCGATATTTTCTTGTTTACAGTACAACTTGAAATTACTAGCGTTGCACTAATTTCAGCAAAAGAGTACGGCCTGATGCGAATCGTCGACGATCCGACGAAATGTGCTTGGCTAGCAAATGGGCATTCACTCGAGCACTATTTAATACGTCACCAGGTAAGAGAGAAAACTCGGCGATGCCTAGGAAAGTTAAAGGGAGACGGAACGACTCTCTTGCTTCCTCTCACCGCTTCCGATAGTTGTTAGTTGAAAAAATTGGAGAAATTGGAAGGGAGAAGTGAAACGATACTAGTAGGAAGAAGGAATTTCATAGACATTACCTATGAAGACTTGAGGGGATTCCAATGTTAATGGAAAAAATAGCGACGTTGAATGGATGGAGTTTAACGATGTTAGCAGAAAAAAGTAATGCACGGATTATTATGGGTTGTACTTTTACTTCACATGGAAAGCACAAATGATCACGATGCTAGGTTTTCTTCTATCGAATTGGGTTCCTCGTTTTCGAGCCATAACAGTATGTTGACTACAGCTTTTTCGATAAGCTATCTAAGCTTATGGGGCAAACTTTGGCCAGGCTAACCTCGGGATTCTAGGGAACCAAGGGCTTAACCAGCAAATCTCCGAAAAATGGAGATTACGCTGAGACCCGCACAATCAGTAAGGATAGGCCATTCAAGTATCAAGTATCTTAGCTTAATTCAATGTTTGTCATCAATAAGCAGACACGAGGTTGTTAATATAGAATTTATTAGAACACAATTGCTGACGTTTCGGCGGTTTCGCCTTCTTCAGAGCCGTTTATTTGTTGTAAGTATTTAAGTTAGTTGGTGGATAGCCGCCGCACAGCGTAATACATGGTCGATAACTGACTGACAAATACTTACAACAAATAAACGGCTCTGAAGAAGGCGAAACCGCCGAAACGTCAGCAATTGTGTTCTAATAAATTCTACATTAACAACCTCGTGTCTGCTTATTGATGAAAAACATTGAATTATCAATTAATGCCGAGGTTAACAGAAAGTCGGTCATAGGAATATCTTAGCTTAGTTGAAAATGCGTACTTAACACCTTTATATCTCAGCGTGTTCTTCGGCAACTGCTGTTGGTTTCGTAACAGCTCCAATGGAAGGAGTTGTGAGCTCGAGAAACTTCTATCGGAGGTTTTCCCCATCGCTTGAAGTGCATAGATTCCGTCTCCTTGCAATATCTTGTTAATCTTGAGTCCCACTAAGATTCAGATCTTCACAGAGAATTGAAGAGCAACCTTAGGAATTCAAAAATCAAACAAGTAATGCATTCTCTGGAACCATTCCTGTCCTTCTGCATGGAATCCTGGCTTTTCGCGTGCTTGTCTATTCAAAATACAGCTGTCGATGAAAAGAAAAGGAAAAGCTAATGTGGGAAAATATGAGTGATTTTTCCTTTCTTCATAAGGATCTTCAGGGTTTAATGGTTTGTGTTTCAATCAATAAAGTTCACTGAAAGCTGAGACAGCTTTTTAACTTTGGAAATTTCGATTGCTTTTGGAAACGTTCACCTGGAAATCAGTGCACGTTGTTAGGATCGGGTTAAATGTTTCATTCACTTTGTTAATCGGATTCTTTTTGTCTTTTTGATGAAACTCTTGAAGGTATGTGTCGGAAATTCTCTGATTCTCTGTGGGTAATAAGTAAGTTACTCTGAAGAAACTGCAATAATTTATGGCTTGCATCACTACATCTCATCTGAGATCCCGTTAATCATCAGTAGACTTGAAGCGCCATAAGTAAAATCCTCATCCGTCAATGTCACACTTCGTAGCTTCCCAATGGGCTTCGAACGCTTAAAGGGCAAGAATGGCATCATACTTTTCCTACGAGACTCATTCCTTATTTTAATGGTTTTTGGCAGAAGGGTAAGCATAGGTGTCGCTTAGGTATGCTTTGCTACTGGTTTACCTTTGGCCGCGTTTGTAGATGGAAATGCAAGATTCCTCCACACAGTTGTCGCGACGTTGTCGCAAAGGTGAACCTCCGTTATACGTCACTTTTCCACACCCATAGATACCTCCTTTCCATCAATGAGCTGTTAGTGATTAAGGGGTTGGGTAATCTCACTTTAAGTAGGAATGAAATGATAGGCGACTGGCAATGGAATGCCGGAAAGGACCCTACCGATATGAATAACGGAGTGCAGTTAGCTGCATCAATTAGAACTAATGACTTATTTCGTTAGTGAACCTAGTTTTTGGCTTCTGGTTGATTTTTTTTTGTTGTAGTGGTTTTTTCCAGTTGTTACGCAATGCTAACCTGTTGTTTTGTTTTAGGACACGGTAGAGTACCGTCGTAAAATCCGTCTACTAAAAGTCCGAATGTTGGATGGCTCAGTGAAGACAATCCCAATTGACGAAAGTCATCCTGTCGGACAACTTATGGTCGGCGTATGCACAAAAATTGGCATTTCTAACTATGAGGAATATAGCTTGGTAAGAGATTTTTAGCTGCAATCACTTTGATTTAGGCGTAAGCTCGATAATCTCGTTCCGAGCTCTTGGAAAGTCGTTCGCCTTTGGAGGATCTCATAACAAAGATTTTTCTCTCAGAAAATCAACATCTGCGATTTGCTTTGGACCGCTTTACCGCATTGAAATTCACACACACCAAATCTGATTTTTTCAGGCTTGCGTTGATCTAATTGAATCTCACAATAGATGATATTTGAAATCCTTACAGAGCAAATAGGTCTACATGTCATGAAATTGAACTCTGAATATATTCAGTAGGTTAGGATTTAACTAGGATTGGATGAATGTGGACGTTTCAATCTCAAATTGCTGTGAGAATTTGGGCTAAGAATTTGTACTAAAATCAGTTTCCCATGTGTTGGAAGCATTTTATAAGTCACTAAAACCGAGATTTTATGTACGTCAAAAGTATTTATTTTAATATAGGTGCCTACCACCTTTGCCCTTTTTATCTTTTCCTATTTTGTCATAATATAGATATTTCCCGCAAGACTGCAGTGCACACTTCATCGGTACTTAATTCGGTTCTGCGCCCGACCCAGAAAGCGTTTATCGCTCCGGGGTCGGCAAATTGGTACCAGACTTGTCTGGGAGGAGAGTTCCACTGATTTCATACATCGGTAGACCAGTGCAAGTGATTGTGTAAGCCAGATTGCATTCATTCACCTTTACGCTGCTACGAATGCAGACGAATGCATGAATCATCTCTCAGAGATTCATCAGCTCTGAACGTTTTATGCTTTATCCGCTTTACCCTCAGTCTGTGGCACAGATAGTAAACAATGTTTCTTTGCTTGAAGTTATAAGTAATGGAAGGGAACAATTCAGTTAGTAAGTGAATTTACATGGTTCATTCTTAGGTTCGTGAGACGGAAGTCGATGGTCGTGGATCAATGATGAATGTCAAAGACGAGCGCTCACGAACAATTGACGGAGAACAGCGCAAAGGCATGATGGGAACGTTAGGCAGAAAAAAAGAGCAAAAGTTGGAGCAGTTGCGGTTAGTGACGATTCAGATAATCAATAATCTCATCAGTTACAGCATGGGACTTGTGAAAAAAGTCCTAAAAGTGGCTCTGTGGTCCTTCAACCATCGTCTTACAAGTAGCATCGTTAAGATGTTTGTCAGTCATTCACGAAAGTTCTGTATATTGTCGTAGGATTAAATGGCGACAAGCCTATATTACATTCAATAGCAGCTACAGGAAACTGTATATATTTATATTCCAGAGGAAGTATCAGCAATGGAGCGTGGTACGTTGAAGTAGTGTGTCCCATTTAAAAGAAAACTTAGTTCAGGGTTACGATGGAAGGATTCCTCATCTGAAAAGTCTAAAAACGTTAGCTCGAAAGAAGCGCATAGAAGTAGACTCAATCTTGCAGAATGGATACCTCTATGGAATGAATATGAGCGAGGAATTCCTTACATCTTTCAGATTTCCATTAGTTTTATCTACATCTATCCGTTTTACCTTAAGATGGTAATATATCCAATGTAGTGCTGTTTATGTTGTTGTGTATGTCGAAATTCAGTGATACGTTGTTCGATTTGATGGAAATGGAACGAATCAGCGTTGCACTAACAAATCCCTAAACTTTCTACTGCTAATCGCTAAACTACCACATTTAGAGCCCCACCCACCCATTTGTTGAGGACGGCTCACACTTATGCACGGTGTGCCTCATAGAAAACAAAACTAGTAATTTTCAGCATGTGAACTTTATTCAGTATAACCTCTAAAGTGATGTCCTTCCGAGCTTCACAATAGCTACCGTAGTCGTTTACCGTAATGTTGCTGAATTATTGGCAAGTTCCCAGAATAGACATGCTTTAGTTGCCGCTTTTTGTTGAATCCTTCCTTAACGGAACGACTTTCTGACTCATATTACAGAAACTTAGTTTATTTAAATAGTTTTAAAATCGGTCGAAGGCTTGCCAACGATTCCTGTGTGGCTTTTAAAAAGTTTTTCATTACGTTTGTTTAATAGTTGACAAAAAACATACAATTTTTTAAGGCAAAAATTACACACTGATGAGGAATTGGATTGGGTCGATCACAGCAAAACATTGAGGGAACAGGGCATTGGCGAAGACGAGACTCTTCTCCTACGACGAAAATACTTCTTCAGGTTAGTCACACTGTGCTTATTTTTGCTTTTATTTGTTCGTTACATGGAAAAATCCTGTACGAACGGTTTCCTTTATGTTTTATAAGGATTTGGAGAAAGAAAAAACGCGGTAGATCCCGTTCCAAAGAGATATGAAAGTGCTAGGATCTTGTGGAGTCCAATTTTTTGATGAAGAAAAAAGATCATAGGTTTAAAAATTGCATCTTTTTCATGAAAAGTTCATATTTCTCATGATGAACCACTCTCCTCATGTCTTAACCTTTATTTACTGCGTATTCACGGTATTGTACCATGTGAACTACCAGAAAGCTGAGATATATGAGTAAAACTCGGAGTCTCAACAGGGTTGCGAATCTGCATTTACCCTTACTAAGACTATCCACCACACCAACCGATGTAGAACTACTAGATTTTATTATCTCCTCGTCTGTATGACCTGCTTGTTTTCTCGGTTTATTGCTGATCGATCTTCCCCGGAATTTCTGGACAGCTGTTCTAAAGTGTTCCCAGATCCCGGTTCAACGCCAATTTGTGCGTCCCAGATCATTCCCGCTAATGCATGTTTGCTGATAGCACCGTTAGAATAGAAATCTGATTGTGAAAAAGGTAAAGTGAAGACTTCGGTTGGCGTAGTGGGCCCGTGGTAAGGATAACCATAGGTTCCAAGCCTAACTAAGGTTCCGAGTTTTGCTTTTATCTCAGCATTCTTATGCTCGTAGTTCACATCGTACGCTCCCATGAAAAAAGATAAAAAGATTAAGCAGTGAATCATGGTTAAAGCACTGTTCCATGATGTTCACCATATGAAGCCATTCGATTTTCTGAATGGAGCTGAGTTTTTCCCAGATAAGTCTGCTATCAATTTGCCGACTTCGAATGGATGGCTTAGATGGGCCCGTGAGGCTTGGATTAAGCTGCCATGCGAGCATTGCACGTCATCGCTGCTCACTGCGCTTCGTACTTTATTCTTTGCAAAAACCGCTAAATAGCGAAAAAAGCAGAAATAGGACGAGAAGTCGAAGGGTTGAGAAAAGAATTCATGAAAGTAAAGCAAGAATATTTTTTAATAGCTGACGCTGTCGCGTTTCATACAGCTCTTTGCCATCAATCCCTAGTGGCTACCAGTGAATTCAAAGCAGACGTATAACTTCGGTCCTAATATCAGCTTCATTCTCCTAGACGGGACTATTAGAGCATAAACGTCTTGTTCCGGTTATTCGTAATGTGGACGGATGAAAATTGATAGCGTTTTTGAGGAACTGAAAAAAACGATGAACTTGTCATGCGTCCGTCATTCTCCCACTCATCAGACGCACCTCTTGCGTTACCATTCAGCTTATGTGATGTATTCTATTAAAAGAATATTATTGGCTGTATTAATTTTTTAAGATGCATTTCTGTGTGAAATCGAAATGTTTCTTGTATCAGTTAATAATATACGGTACTAGCGCTAATGGTTCTTTTCCTATGTGTGTGTGTCGAGCTAAGAATTTGTTAGTAACCTTGCCTGGACATCTTTCCACTTTTCACAAAGAACAGTATAGACAGTAGTAAAATTGAGAAGGCGTTTTTCACTACTATTTGATTCAATTGTGATTTTTTTCTAATTTTCAAGATGTTTCTTTACAGCGACACAAATGTGGATAGCCGTGATCCTGTGCAGTTGAATCTCCTATACGTACAGTGTCGTGACGGAGTGCTTCGAGTGGGTCGCTGTAGTCACTTTTCTATGGCTCGGCACATTTTTTTTTCGCGAAATTTTATTTCCCTTGCTTGAAAACGGAGACATCTTCTAGCTTGATGTAAAGATCTACATATATTAATTCATTGATAAGCTAAGACGGGGTTTCTACCAAACCTTTATTTGGCCAACGTTTCGATACCTTCGTCTTCCTCAGAGCCGATGATTCGAGTCAATGATCCACAGTCCTTCGTACTGTCGACGTGGCGTCTTCATTTTCATATCGAATAGAATCTTCTTCGACTGTGAGGAAGACGAAGACATCGGAACGTTAGCCGAATAAAGATGTTCTAAATAAATAAAGATGAATAAAGAATAAAGAATAAAGACAGATAAGACAAACTCGTGTTAGTTCATCAGTAAAAGAATGCATGTTGATCAGTTATACCGAGGTCAGAGGAACGTCGGTTTTTCAGATATAAAATTCTACACTTGATAAGTGTTTTGAATGGGCTTAGGTTTGATTCATCATAATGTGGTGTTGAATAAGTGCGCGTTTGACTTGATTTCGAGATTTTTGGGTTTTTATGAATAAATGAGGGTTTCACGACTGTGTGTATATAATGCAGCTGTTGTGAATTAAAAAGATGAAGATGACTAGTTGATTCTGAGGAAATTAGTTGGAAGCTCTATGGCCACCTTGACATACCATTTTTGTTCTCTTGTGAACGTCTGAGAAATTGCAAGAAATTGATCAAATGAAAACTTCGCTACTTACCATTTGGCTTGATGGTGAAATTTTACAGACATTCAGAAAAGAACGACCGCAAATCAGTATAAGACTAAAACAAAAGTGGCGAGGAGGTCTGAAAACGATGAACTTACAAACGATTTTTTTATTATCTACTTATAGAACATTTTTTTATAATGTTTGCCGTCTTGCAAGTCTTTAGATTGATGCTTTTGAGTAATCTTTAATGATTACTGCTTAATCCAGAGTCTCCATCCAGTGACAAAGGAGATCGCTTGCGAATTGGGGGCGTTGCAGTGCCAGATCGAGTACGGTGACTTTCCGGAGAACAAACCGAAGTTTTACATAGAGTAAGTTCATCAACATTTCCGTGGAGGTCTCTGTAATGGCCATTACAAAGACTCTTCCTTGTAGCTGTAGATGTAGCTAGCAAGCCAGCTTTTTTCTCCTACGCGTGATGTGCTGCTTCACAGTTTTTTTATTAGTAGAATTCTAAAGCACTGTAAGTTTTTCTGTCGGAAAACGCATGACGCAGTGGTACTGTTGGTGTTCGGTTTGAACAGAGCACTGGTTTGATCCCTTCTCGGCTTCAACAAGCATCTCATTCCTCCGTGGTCGAGAAATTAGTGTCAAACTCGTCTATGATCGTCTGGCTCATTCCAATCCAAAAGAGATCCCACTTACCTGTGATAAAGATCTGCGAACATCCTCCTAACACTGCTATCCTAAGTTTCGAGGGGAAATAGGCTCGACCAGTATTCAGCGAAGTTCACAAAGAGAACTAACATTCTTAAAGCAGCAGCCGAGCCCACAAACCGGGAGATCTTCGTGGATGATAGATGCGAGAAAATGAATCCAATGCAAGAATTGCTGGAATGCGCACAATATGCGCTGTCGAGTTGTTCAGAAATATAAAAAATTTCCCATGTAGGCTACGGATGGAACAGTCTAACATATGGGTATTTGAATAATTATAATCGACCAACGCAGTCGGTATTACTAGTTATAGGACTTCGAAAATTCCTGAGTCAATTCAATCTTTCCTTCCAAATGTGCTTTGTCTTTTGTTGAAACAGAGCCACTGTAAAATTAGAATGCGGAGTATTTAATTATTGAAGAACTAACCCTAATTGCTAGCTTTTACTGCAGTATTCTTTAGAAATTTCAACACATTGTTAGGAAATGCTGGCATCGAAACGAGTTGCCTACGTTTTAAGAAGCCAGTATGAGACTGCGCTGCCTATCTTCACCAATCACTGTTCGCAGTCCAGGATATTTGCAACTTAGTTGGTCTTCTTCTTCTTTGACAGGACAGTTTTGCTGTATTAAAAGGCAGGTTTCTAACATTCCAAGTAGGATTGTTGAAGGGTGGACAGCAACGATTCGTGTCCATGGAGAGGAAAATTTTATTTTTCGGATAGAAGATAAAGGAACCATGCATTCGACTTCATTAAGCATCACCTAGGTGAATGGATGTACATCGGTCTATGCAGTGAATTGAAGTGGCCTACAGATGTGTAGGGTCAGTGATTTTGTGCTACCAAATCGGTATGGTGCCAATTTATCGAGCTCAATGAGATGAAGGACTTGGTGAGTTCGACTCACGGGTTCGAGCCAGCTACCGATCGAATGTGTATTGCAAGAGACCTATACCTACTGCGCTACGCGCTGTTTTTATTATTCGGATGTATGCCAATTTGGGAACCAGCAATGTGTAAATATGTCAGATAGGAAATATCGTTAACCAATATTCGAATGCTGTGGTTTTTTTTTCTAGCACTGTGATAATTCTAAGCTGATCTGGATGGCACACTAAGAATTTTTGCTCACATTTACTTTCTTGTGCAGAGTCGAAAAAGACTACTAGTTTTTAGAAAGCAGAATTTTCTGTGCCACTTAGATTTTAGCACTTTTCAATATGTCTGCGCTTTAGCGTTATTTCTTGCCTGTCTAGTGAAAAAACCGCGAACAGCGTCCTTACTCATTAGCCGTTCCGTGACTTGTGAAATATTTCGCTACTTCATTTTTTTTTACATCAGGGGTGGTGATGAGATTTGCAATTTTAGGATAGAACATATGTACATTAATCCATTTCTGCTTTGGAAGGTTCAGTTCAAGTACTTAGTTGAATTTTTAAATAAGCATCAGTTTATTGACATCATAGTGACTTTATTTTATTGATCGAACATAGAGCAATAATACTTAACTAAACTTAAAAAATGGTTTGGTGGAGTTGGAACGGCTATTTAAAGTGGCTAAAAAATACGGCGATCAGATCAAGGGTGCACTGGGTATTTTTTGGATTCGTCAAAAAGAGATCGTTTTATCCAGAGTGTTTTTCCTTCAAGATCGGCTGAGTAAAGTCCAAAAAAATAGGTTAAAACGGAAAAAGGGTCATCTAAATTAATATAAGAAACACCATTGAAGGGAGTGGAAAATTCGGATGGCTGCGTCGATGTTGCCGTGACGTGATTGGCCACACTAAGGATGTGGCGCTGCCGTTTTGGATTGCGCCTAATTCTTCGCCGAACGTGCTGCGCATTAAAAAATCTCATCCGAGGAAGGTTTTGTACAAATCATTAAGTGCAAAGAATAGCTTTTCACAAGTTACGTCTGGGCAGAACATCTGCGTTGAATTAGTTGTTGATTCTGTCCAAAAAGTGTAAAATGTAAACTTTTAGCGGCAAAACAAACACTATCAAATACTATCCATTGATGTCAATGCATACGGTCCACTCACTCCATACCCCCCACCTTTCCTCTATTATACGTTGACCTTATTATACGCATAAGGTGACTTACGTGCTAGTGAAGACCACTGATGGAAACTTCTGTGATGGAGTAGTCGTCAAGTTACTAAACGATGATATCACGCATACTCTCTTAGTGCCTTTAGAGGGAAGTTATGCGAGTGAGCAATTTATTCCCAGCAGCCGTTATGTTGTACTACGTCTGCATCCGGCTCTCTGAGCATTCGCAATTTGCTCAATTGTGCACAATGTGACACGAAACAATAGTGAGAGTTCGTGCGTTGCACATGCTTCGTTTTGTTTGAAAAAGTTCTTGAGAGCGTTGGTGCCCATCTGATGAATAATGGGAATCTCTGCACTATGCAACGTTCCAGGAGTAAATGAGGATCCTTCATTAATATTCCTAATTTAGATTACCTTGTGCTCTGGTAATTGCTTTGCACGAAAGTTATTTTAAAGCTGTTAAAAATGTCAGCGGGCAATCTAGAGATTGTTTTTCCAAGCCTTTTTAACATTACGTTGGCAGCATGGTTCATTTTGGAATAGAATTCATAAATGGTAAAACCTATTGGTGTTGATTAATCATGAGGGATGTGCCATACTTCCGACTTCAAGCGTAGTTACAGGTGATTGAATACAGGTCTGGCGTATGCATTGACTCGCGGTGGCCTACCAGTGCATCGAATCAGTGCTGTTATCCTTCCAGGAAGTGTCCTTCATGTCTGGTACCAATTTGCCAACCTCTGAGGGATGGAAGGGTTGGTGAGTCTGAGGCACGGAATCGAACTCATGTGTATTGCAGGACAGCTATAACCGCTGCGCTATACGCGCTCATAGTTCAGACAGCAACTCAATGTCATCTCATTGAGAGCACAGATATTTGCTTATCAAAACTGAATCAATATATATCAGTAAGAAGTCTCTCATCGGTGCTGTTAAAAGGATTCATTATGGACGACTTAACTGGTTGTAGCTTTTTATTCCTTTAGCTCAAATGTTATTTGCAATGTCGTTAAGCACTTTTTATGCCAGCTCTTGGAGCTCTTGTGACGGTAGTAGCGATGGCTTATAACAGTCCAAGAGATATTTGAACTTTCTCAAACCCTAAACTTTTCATGATTGTCACGTCCTTGTCTATAGTCTGCTCTAGTCATTAAGCTAAAAACTTCGGTGTAATTTCAAATTTGGGTGACATCGCGTAGAATCCGTTTAGTTCCTGGAGTAAGTCTAACCGATTGGTTAAAAGGTACGCAGCTGTACATTGACATCTATGACAAGAGTGCAGCGTCTTTAGATTTGGTAGAAATAAAATTAACGGATCTCAAATCCACTTCCTTCAATGCAGATAGCCTTGTTTTGTTTCACTAACATTAAGGACAGCAAATATGACAACACAAAGAAAGTTCTCTGCGTTTGGCCGAATAGGTGGCTCTCATCTCTTCACAGCCTTTATGACGTGTTTAAGTTCTCCATATGCCAGAGATTGCCGATCGACAAGATTGCTGTCAAGGATTGCTTTTTGTTCATTTTTTCTTTCATCAGTTCTTAAAATTGTGCACATAGTTTTATTCTTTTGTTAGTTTGTTTTCATTCTTAAGAGATGTTATTGTCCATTAAGGATGAATTTTATAGAGGACGTGATTTTTTGCCGAAAGAGTACGCGAAGAGCAAAGAGAATGAGAAGAAGATCGTTCTGGTAACGTTATTTGTTCACTTATGTATATTATTTTTCTCTTCCTCTTTCGAATCTACATTTCCCATACTATTTTTTAGTAAGTTTAAGTAGAAAAATATTCACTCTACAATAAGTGAAAATTGAAGATTTTACTGGATACTGTATCCCTGAGAAGGCAGAACTACTTTAACATCCTTGTCGAATTAAGTGCTCTGGTGGCCTTTATTTTCCTTATTAAGGGGTTTTCGTGGTACATTAATGTTATCGTGTATGTTACACATATTTTCCTTACCATTTTCCGATCCAACCGGGTGTTTTCGTTACTTAAAAATTGTCGTGATGTCAATTATGTTCATGGAAGGAATTACCCGTGCTATTTTACCAAAGAATCTAGTTATAGATTGCTGTTTCAGAATTACAAACAACTGTCGGGTACGTCGGATTTGGATGCGAAAAGTAAATACGTCCATTTATGTCGCGGTCTGAAGACCTACGGTGTCACATTTTTCTTAGTGAAGGGTTTGTAGCCATTTTCTCTTTTCGCTGTCTTTCATCTACCAATGGTAAATCATTCCTGGATCCTATTTGAGAAATCTATGGTCTTTCTAATCTTAATTATTCTCGAATTCTATCGTTCTATGCATTACCATAAAAGTCCATTCTTGTCCAGTTATTTCCAATAAGGCGAAGAAAAGACGTTTAGACGAGGCGAGCGGGAGCGGATGGTTGATGCCGTTAGTGTGAGGCTTTCCGTTGACATCAACCGTTGCTGTGACCACAAATTTCGCCATTTACTCAACATAAACTAGATTTGGCGGGCCTAGTGCGAGGTCCCTGATTAGCCTCCCAGTGCTGCAACGAGGTTCAAAATAGTGGGCGTGGTTGCTTCAGTCGGCCGGCGCCTGTCGTGTCCGCCCCTTACCACAGCTCGACCTCCGCCCTCTTCGTCAGCACGGAGGACCGTCGTTGTGCGGCCATCAGTAGCTCTTGCCGACGTCCTGAGAACAGACGGGCAAGGCTCATCCACCGCCGGTCAGCTCAGCACGCACCACTGTTGGTTACTGTCCGTTAATGAGCAGTCTAATGATGCGCTACTCCGGGTTAAGTGCTTCCTATCGTATTGCTGACCCTCACTGGTAGAGTGTGGTACTGGATTAGCTTTTCGGTGCTGGAACAACCGTGGAGTAAGCTTGAGTTTGTTAGGTAGCGCGTACACAAATGTTCTCTTAATGCACTGTTTTTTTTGAGCCGATACAAGTTTGTTATTGCACTATTCATCCGCAATTGCTGATTTTTCGGCGATTTCACCTTCCTCAAAGCTTGATAAGGTCAAATTATCGCTCAGTCTATTCAGTCAAACACTTTCATAACCCAAGTGGGAAAAAACTCTATGCGTAAATTTTCTTCTCTTCGCTCTCTTTTTTCTGTGTTCTATTAATGTTTTCTCCGTCGTGTTGTTCTTTATAATACGGGATTTTTTGTTGCTTTTTGCATCATAGAAAGTGGTAAGAAATAATCTCACTCTCGGCAATTAGCACTTTCTTTTCCTTATCTGTATCCCACAGTGGTCGAAAATATCACAATTCTCACCTTTTTCTCTTTCCTCATGTTTCCCATTTTGACCCGAATTGGTAACAACTAACATTTTTTCTAATTTCTTTTAATCACTTTCTTCTGTAAGCTTTGTTGGCGGCCTGTAACAACGACTAGTGCATTTCACGAAGCCCTTAAAGGCTTCGGTTACCGGCCTATGATGTCTATTCGATTCGAATATTCGGTTTAATTCATAGTCTAGTCTGTTTCTCATTTGCTTTTATCCAAAATGGGTTACTAGTCGGAATCCCATCGCATTGAAATCTCCGTATGACTCGACAAAATATCTGAATTTGTGCAAAGGATTTCGTCGCACTTATCACTTTTGCATGTAGTTTTCATGGGTATTGATTATTAATTCCAAGTACCTTCTACGCTTTTGAATTCACTCTTACTTTGTTTTATTCCTGGAATAGTTTTATGTCATTGATCCAACTTCTTGAGTTTTAAATTTTCAATATTTGGCAACAAATATAAGAGTACCAAGAAGGCCTTCTGAATTGGTGCTTACGATTCGGGGCGCATCCTTCAGTGATAGTTTTCATGAGGGTTCATAAGGATCTCAACGAGTTCTTCGTCTCTCTTAGTGTTATTCCGTTGATTGAAGATGTTCTTATCCATAAAAGAGTTTTCAAAGGCAAGCCTTCAACCGTTGCTTCCCACCAATTTATTGCCTTCTATACGGTCATCTCAAATCTGATTTTTAGAAAAATTATGCGGAAAAAACAAGCTTGTTCCACGTCTTCTTGGCGTCAACAAAGAATGTGTGATGCGAGTCGACGAAAAAACAAAAGACGTGCTAAAAGAATGGCCATTAGAACAAGTGAGGCGATGGAATACATCTCCAAGGACGTTCACCCTGGTTGGTTTATCGATTTATAGATTTATTGATTGATTATGATTGTTGTTGTGTCACGAGCACTGGCATTTGTCAGACACTAAAATGTGTGTGATTGTAATTAAAAGCGTAAAATTGTTTAACAAGCTAAACGACTATCTTAACCTTTTTATTTACTGCCTATTCTTTTTTTAACGGCAGGTATATATTGCGAAATACAACTTTAACGATGCTGAGATAATTGCAAAACTCCGGACCGCAGGTGTCTGCAGTGGTGAACGAACGTGCTATTGTCTTTTCCGGGGAGTAACGCGCTCACCACCACACCATGGGGCTCCTTCGTTTCGCTTGTCTCTCAGCTAGTTCTATCTCTAGTTTCTAAACGACTATATTTGTTCTACAAATGTCATGACGTTTATAAATGGTCTAATTTTTTTAAAGTTGAGGAAATACCTGTAGTTTTTCCTCATTGAGGCTTTGTCTCGTTTCATTTGTGATCTACCGCTTAAAATTTGTTTGTTTGTAATGTTTTGTTCTTTGTTTTGTGTTCTGTTCTGTAATGTTCTAAAACTTTTTTGTAATCATCTAATTAATGGCGAAATAATTTTTTCTTTTTTTTCGTAAAACAATATCAGAAGTTTCGTGTTTCCGAAGATCAGATCTATTCTAATAGACCTGACCTGAGAGAGAGAGAGAGAGAGAGAGAGACCTGACCTTTAATAAATGCAACTTTAAACAACTGTTGGTTTTTTTTGTAATTAATTCCTAAATACTTAGGACTTCGGTGACTATCAAGACGGTTACTATTCGGTGCAAACTTCTGATGGTGAGAAAATTGGCCAACTAATTGCCGGCTACATTGATATCATCGTGAAGAAGAAAGCGATGAAAGATCATCTTGGAATCGAAGGAGACGAAGGCTCTACAATGCTTGAGGACGTTGTCGCTCCAGCGAAAGCCACTCTGGTTTGTTCTTTGTTCCTTGTTTTCTTTTTTTGTGTATTTTTTTAATTGCGGAGTGTTTTCACTAATGATTGGATGTGGTTCTGAATAAACAAACAACTGGATTGTTTCCTTCAATAACGTGATTTCATGATTGACTACGGTATAATAATAGAAGAAAATCTAATCAGACGAAAGAACTGCAACAAGTGAGAGACGTAGCTCTTCTTTTTGTTCTCTACATCATTTTTAACCTTCCTTTTACTCTGTTGAGTAGACTAGAGTATTGTTCACATTTCATCTACATGGAAATGCATCAACTTTTTCCGTCATGAGTTTTGTCGGCGCCTACCTTCCATTGATTGTAAATCGCTGTGGTCGTCATTGCTACTGAGGAGTATTATTTTTTAAAATCAGCTTGAATAAGTCAATTCATGACGCTTTATTTCTAATAAAAGCCCCGGAGTGCTTACGGAGATATGAGCAATTTTGCAGAAATAGTTGATGATTTGGTTGACTTTCGTTGCTAAAGGCGAATCACGGGGATGTGAATGAAGTCAGTTACCACTACCACATCCCTGTTGAAAAAATCCACTTCTAACAGCAGTGATATTTTCGTACTGTTTCCATGACAATTTAATATGTTCTGGTAATTTGTTATAATTGCAGTTGGATTAATTAACTAGAAAATAGGAGTAGAAGATGCATAGCACTATTAGAACAGTTTTCAAGAGGAGTCAAGCTTAAGTACCATTCGGATCTCAGATTGATTCACGTCCTATTAAAATGTTTTCAGTTTTGTAGGGTTATCTCTAAGGATTTGTACCGTAGAATAAATTTCTGCTTTGGAATAGCCTCAGGATTCTTTAATTTTATGTCAGACCTTGTTAGGTTCAGGTATTTCCCTTACACTGTCTGCCGGTCATGAAGAGAATGTGTTTTAAAAGCTACCACTTTTCTCAAATACCCTGACAGAATATTTTTTTTAATATGTGGGAGATATATGCACAGTGGTTTTTGCAATGATCCAAGATTTTATTAACGTTTCTTGGCTTTTTCTTTAAATATCAAAACGGAAACGGCTGGTAATTTCGTTATCATTGCTATTGTCATGCTCATGAAAAAATTCAGGTGGCTCATGGGCAGATCGGAACCGGGCAGTACGCTCAGGACGGCCACGTGGCGCTGCGTGGCGTGCTGCGCACTCCGCAGCAGCAGCCGTACGGTTATGGTATCAACGGCGCGCAGTACGGTGCCGTCAGCGGCGAGATTCAATCGCAGAGTCTTGCAAGAGTACGTTTTCGCTTAGTTTGACAATACTTGATGTGCTTATGTTTCCATGGTTAAATCCTCGCCTTTTCTGATGTTGGAGTAGGTTTTTGGACCTAACAGAATCTCCGCGCTACATTCGCTCTGATTCAAAACAAAAAAAAAACATTTTCATAAAAATCCTCAGTTAGACACGAAGGCATAGAGTGTTTGAAATCATTTTACTCTTTCGGGAAGGTGGAAATTCATAAGGATGGAGATCATTGTAAAAAAAAACGCAGAAAAAATGTTCAATCAACGAGGAGACTTAGTCAGATACGTTGCAAGTTCTTCGTATCCTTTTTTCCGATTGTAAGGGGACCCGAATTTTTTTGACAGACATTCTCTTAATAGTGTGATTTCAATGATATTTTTCTGGTATTGCGCTACTCACGCTACTACTTAGTAGATATAGAAATAGCTGAGAGACAGGCGAAATGAAGAACCCGGATTGTGTGGCGGTGAACGCGTTACACCCGCGAAAGGGAATACCGCGTTCCTTCCCTACCGCAGACATCTGTGGTCCAGAGTTTTGCAAATATCTCAACGTCGGTCGTTATGGTTATTTAGTAGATAATTTAAAAGCGTACCGTGAGAAGGTACAGTCCTATGCATTTTTTCCCCATTCACGTGTTCGTGAAGTCAGCAACAAGACATTCATTAAAAAGTCCCACGTTCATTGTTTCTTTTGGGAAATTTTACGATTTTTTACCGCGGATGTACTTATTGATGATTTCTCTCTCCGCAGACCACTCCCTCTTCCCAACTTCTCCGGATTAGGAAATTGGTGGCGGGCTTATATTGAAAGAACTCTCTCTGATCTACAAAAGCTAGCGATTTCCTGTGTTGAAGACCTTCGTTCTTCATTTTCTTCGTTTTTTTTGCGGTTGCCTTCTAACGGAGTTGTCTCAGGGTTCCATGGAGAACTAACTCGACGAATACATTCGTAAAGAAAGCAAAATCCTAAAATAACAGCTGTTCCTACATTCAAATCCCTAGACCTTGGTGAATAACGATTGCGTAGTAATGACCAAAGTGAAAGAAATGCTGGAATGTTCATAGTATGCGGGAAGATAAGTCATATAAATGGATAAATAAAATTGGCTGTAGAGGAAAATTTGTGGTGATTTAGTGTTTGCCAACTATATCCATATATGGGTTACAAGCCGTTGCATTAAATTTCTTTAAGTGACAGTAGCTCTAAGATGATTTAGAATCGTCACGCTTCGTTCAGATCACACACATATTGCTGACTCCAACTCACCCCAGAGAATTGAACTGGAACAGTTTCTAGAGAAAATGCTAAACGATGAATAGTTGGCATTGGCGGGTTTCTTATTTCACCTTACCACAATAGACGTTCGTTGTGGTGTTGAATTGTCGCCGATGCAACTATGGTAACGCCAAAATCGGCTATTGTCATCGGCACCCCACTGGTCGCACAGCTGCCATTTATTCATTAAAATTCATCGGCTCGTCAAGTTTTACTATGTGATGGATGATGACGAGCTGGGATAAAAATATCCTATTGAACTAAAAAAACATCTGACGAATATCGGAGGTTTGATGGTGATGGTATTCAACCGGCAAACATCGAACGGCGGAAACGAAAAGGCAGCAGGTGAAGTTGAACCGTGACCACTCGGTCCAAGTCAGATTTACCAGATCGGAAGACGGAGCCAGATCAGCGATTTTCAATTATATGAGTGGTGGACTTTTGAAGAATAAAAGTACTTCTTTATTACAGCTTCAAAGTAGTCCATACCCTTCTATGCATTTCGTTTTTCCGTAGTAGAAAAAAGTGGAAGAAAACAGAGTACTTGGTTGACTGCTTTGAAGTCAATGACGTACAGATATTTTATTTATGCCAGCATCTCAGTGAAGACGATGGACCCACGTGAGAAATGCTAATGTCTTCGAACAATATTCTTCGGAATAAAAATACAGCATTGATGGCCGAAGAAATGGCATAATCGTTGAGTGACTGGCCTCTGGGTTGCTTCTATTCAAAATTTGGCGCTTTTATAGGCTATTAAAACTCGGTAGTATTAGCAAAACATAAGCGACTTCATGTACTGCCTCCTTTTAGCATAATGGGGGAGCTGCCTGTGTAATTTCTTTTCCAATATAACGGCCAAATTTTGCTACTGATTCGTTTCTTCACCTCCGTGGGAGGTTCTCCCATAATGATCTCGTCATTATGGCTCTTGTTATTGTTGTTGTTATTGTTGTTGTCGTTGTTGTCGTTGTTGTCGCTGTTTTTCCAGGACCTTCTGCAACATTCTTCGTACTAAGCTTTAGGAACTGGAAATATTATTCCAACTGTTGTAATTTTAGGCTCATCGCCTTCGTATTCTGGACACCTACGAACATCCTCAACGTGCTCTAGTCGGCACAATAGAGGCGACGATCAAATCAGTCGCCGAAGCGGAAGAGGAATTGGAACGCGAGCCGCAAATTGATCTGCCACGATTCCATGACGACTACACGAAACGAAAGTGAGGCGGATTTTCGTTTCTTGCTTCTCATGAAATCAATGACCATTGCTGTTGGATTCGTTGTCACTGGAAATGTTTCCGTAGAAGATTTCTGATTTTGAACTAAATCCATGTTGATCGAATTGGTCGCTCTCCTCCGGTACACAGTCAGACATCTCCGCTCCTTTTTGTGCCTTAGCATTTTGTCGTCTACCTTGAGGTGGATTTTGGTTAAATGCAAGTGATGAGAATGATCAGTGTGACAATTGCAGGTGGGTTGATGAACAAGTCACCATCAGTAAGGAGAATGTCAACGAGCGGCTTGCCGCCATGGGTGCAGCTACAGCACAGGTTTGTCTTTTAGTGTGTTCTGTAGTCGTGAAAACCACTACTACCACATATAACACAAATAACGTGTAATTTACTTACTCACGAACTAATTCTGTTATTTCTTATTATAGTAGATAACAGGTTAACTAAAACTTGCTAAAATACGGTACATTATTTTCCTTTAACGTGAAAGTCAGTGTAAAGTCAACCGACGACTAAGTAACACAGTGTAAAATGCTTGTTGCTCACCCCTCCGTTAGACGTCAAAATGCCACCGACTGATAGAAGGTGATTTGAAAAGACGTCGGATGACGTCTTCCCCTAGACAAAGCGTTCACCGGGGAAGTATTGGCCACCGATGCTTTGAGAAGCAATAAAATCTTCAACGAGTTAGAAACTGCACATTTTAGCGCAGGAATTGAGAGCAAGGAAGAAGATATCTACATCAATCGTCCCTGCTAGAAATGGAAAAGAAAGAGTATAGAACTTGGTTTTTGCTTTCATTAATGGGTATGTGGGTTAGACTTTGTGCAGGCTAACCTCGGGACCTCAGGGAACCACAATGGTTCAACCGGCAACTCTCCAAAAAAGAAAGAAAAAGTAGGGATTGTGATGGCACCCGCACAACTAACTAGTGAAGACGAGCCGTCCAAGTATCCAAGTAAGTCATGGGGATGTAACTTATGAATGACTATAGTTCGTATTACTACTATAATCGACTTTGTTTTCTCTACACTTAACAAAAAAAGCAGGTCAACCAGTCTTTGGAAAAATATACGGAAGTTTATGTTTTCCGGCTTCTTTACGTCCGTGCACCTTGTTCACAACAATAAATATTCTCCGGACACTTTTTTTTTCGTCACTGAGAAATTTATTCTCGCTTGACTGCAGCCGTCAATGATTAGCGTCTATTTTCAGGTGGTCCAGTGGACGGCCGTGCAAGAAGAGTACGATGATCGTGTCGGGACCGCCATCGCCACTATCGGCTCGAATCTACCGGATGTTGGAAGGAATGTCCGTGATTTGGCTCATTTCATGCCAGACAGAAGAAGGTATTCATTAATTTTTTCACATTTGACGGTTTTCATTTCAAGCGAACGATAGTGGAATTCTTTGAATCACATTGCTCACAATTTAATCGCATATAGTTTAATTATTTGAACCGACATATTGGCTTATTGAGTTATTGATTGAAAATTTGACTTGCTGATTTGCTGACTGAAAATTTCTTTTCAGAGGAGATTTGGTGGACGCAACAAGAAAACTGTGCGGTGCTTTTGGTGACTTCCTCCATGCTGTCAATCCAGAGCACGAGGTTAGTGCAGCGGGTGGTTATAGCTTTTTTCTAAAATTTAATTTCGGTTGCTATTGGTTTTCAAGTGCTCTAAAGTTTTTTGTGGGGCAATTGATGAAGTTTTGATAGATAAGAGAATTGTCAACTCATGAGTCGTTTTAGAAAGTCTGTTAGTCAAGAGGGGGAAGAAATTATAAGTGAGAAGAAGCGTTGCAGTTCCCTGTTTAAATGAGGGGGCCATGGACTTTGCAGTGTTGACGATGATTGAATTTTAGCTAATTCTTTGAAGGAAAAGAGAACTACTGTACTTGCGGCGGCAGGGCGGGTTGGAGATTTCTCGCAACAGGTGATCAACACCATGGATGAGCCAACACAAGAACAGACGTATTTCCACGATCACCTTGTACAAAAAGCGAAGAACGTTGCCACAAGCACCGCTCAGCTTGTGCTCAGGTATTTAAATATTAAAAAATAGAAACTTGTCGATAGTCGGTTTTTTGTGGCTCGTCATCCAAAAGACACTTGTCACTTCGTTCTGAAGAGGCAACCTATCCGTCAAATATTTAACAGCTCTATTGGCGGTCAGTAAGGATAGCAATATACTTGCCTCAATATTTTGAGTTCGATCACCTTTCAATGTTTTGTAGAAACTGTTTGGGAAACTCTATAGGAGTCTCTTTAAAAAAGAACGTTACCTAAGAAGAGGTCCCGCTACTTGCGAATATTATCTGTCATGCTTTTTACGGTACCTGTAGAATACCTACCTACATGGTGGTTGTTTTTCTCACCCATTATCTTTTGTATTCTTCCTTTCCCTACATCTCTCATTTCATTCACTATCTACAGCCTTAAGATAACTGTTGCTTTCGAACTATCGAATGTTGTCTCCTTCCCAACATGTTTTAGCACAATTCTCTTATAATGTCTATTTCTCCTAGCACTTTTTTTTAGGTTGGAGATTGCTGTAATGAACTACTAGAATTTTCCACTTTTTTCTTCTAGCGAAACGTACGACGTCTTGTCGTTAATAACTCGTACTCTGACGTATAACCTTTAGAAAACCTAAGCGTAATTGGTAAGAGGTTTTTGAGGGACAGGTAGAAATGAATTTTCGAAAGAAGTAGGCAGAGTTCGGCGTCGACGTATATGCCCATTGGGGGCTATTTGTCGTTAGCCGCTTTGCAGCCTGCCAATGATGGATACTATGCAAATTGGGTGTAGGGAAGAGGGTACTCCTGACACCGCACCCATGGGACACTTGTCAGCTTGAATAGTTGTTAGAGAGTATTGAATACGAGTAGAAAGTGGCAAACAGCTAGTCGCCATATATCTTTGATGTTGTAGACGAAGCAAGTTATCCCTCGGGATCCTTGATCCATCTAGGCGATTTCTTACAACTCTCCGTTGTATTATATTTTACCCGTCGTTCGCGCCCACAAACTTTCTTATGAGTTTGAGTATCATGGGACCTCTTGTCTTCTCATACGTATTTAATTTCGTGAAAATTACGTATAGGGGATCATTGGATTTTTTGCTGTTCCTTCTGTTATATTTTTTGGACGACTTTTTGTGATTGAGAAGGTGTTCGATAGTAAGTTGTGATGATTTTCTCAGATTAACAACTCGCTACTATCAATCTTGACAATCCACTTATTCAGTCAAGTTAACTCTTGCTCTCGTAATTCCTATTTAAAGTAGTTTTTTGATGTTAACCTCTTATTTACTGTCTACTGCAGTTTTTCACGGCAGGGTATTATGTGAAATGTAACCACAATGGTGTTGAGATATTCGCAAAAATTGGATCCTAAGCCAGATTGAACCACAATTACCTTTTTTGCGTGCTCACATGTTACACATTGCACCACTTTCTACCTGGAAGTGTCATCAGCAATGCTCCGCCAGCGGGATTGATATGCATTACAGTAGGCAGTAAATAAAATGTTAACGTTGTGATTTCGCCTACAACCTCACCATAGCTAGGTTCGGTGCCGATTTGTGCTCAGATCTATCCCGTTGACGGTTGATTGCTGATGGCGCCGTTAGGTAGAAAAGTAGCTGAGAGAAAGGCAAAGCAAGAGGATCAGGGTGCAATGCGTAACTCGCGAGTCCCCGGAAAGTTTTTTTTTAATGGTTTGGATCTGGTCTTTTGCCTTGTGGTCTATCGATATACTATGAAACAATTCTACACTAAATCACAATGTATAGCTTTTTATTCACTACTCAATATTTTTTCATGGTAGGTTAAATAAATCACGGTGATGTTAAGATATTTGCAGTACTCAGACTCTAGACGAGATTTGAACCCACAATCCCCATTTCCCGGAGGTGGGGTGAGAACATGGTAGAGAGTAAATAAAAAGTTATCCAATAATGCTGGGATATTTGAAAAACTCCGGACCGCAGGTGTCTGCGGTGGGGAACGAACGCGCTATTGTCCTTTCTGGGGAGTAACGCGTTCACCACCACACCATGCGGGTCCTTCGTTTCGCCTGTTTCTCATCTAGTTTTGTCGATCACAATCTTAACCTCTTTATGTGATTATAAATATAGCCTCAGCTTAACTGGGTTCAATACCGATTTGGGCTCCTTAGATCAATCCCGTTGATGGGTGATTGCTGATGGCAAAAGATCGATAGAACTAGCTGAGAAACAGGCGAAACGATGGGCCCGCATGGTGTGGTGGTGAACGCGTTACTCCCCGGAAAGAACAATAGCGCGTTCGTTCCCCACCGCAGACACCTGCGGTCTGAAGTTTTGCAAATATATCAGCATTATAGTAGTTATATTTCGCAAAAATACCTTGCCGTTAAAAAGAATAGGCAGTTAATAAAAAGGTCAGAAAAGCTGTACATTATGATTTCGACTGCAGCCTCAGCTTTACAGAGTTCAATATCGATTTTTGCTCCCCATGACATTCCCGATGACGGGTGACTTAACGGCATCATTAGGGTAAAAACTGGCTGACAGAAAAGCAAAGCAAGGACCTCAGTAGTTCACTGAGTTCCACGTGACGCCCCGGAAAAGGTAATGGCAGCTTCGAACCTGGCGTGGGATCTGAGTTTTGCAAATATCTCAGCATCTTTCATTCGGTTCATTGGCTATGAGAAAGACGAAGGTGTCGAAACGTTAATCGAGTAAGGTTGTTTTTGTCAACCTCATGAATGCACGTTCATCAGTCAGACCAAGGTTAAAGCAAGGTGAGTTTATGAAATATCTCAGCATCATTGTAGTTGTAATTTTGGATTAGATCAGATCGGCAATGCACGCTTTTAAGGATCATCAGAAGATGTCGAATGAAGGAAATGACTTTGTAAACTAATGTTCTCATCTTCATGGCTATTACGCTTTGCCACGAAAGATTCTTCGCGTTGCTCATATCGCAATTTCAACGTATCACAAAGCAGTTTTTTCGTAAGCCTACGACTAGCCAAGTGGAGCCGGTTTTCTCGCCCATGGACGGCGACTGACAACGTCGGTCGCAGCCACAGTGCTACCGACACCCGTCCGTCCGCATCCACTGTGTCGACTTAGGCAGTTGCTATCAGCTTCAAAAAAACCACAGATCACTTCGATCGTTTCTCCAGGGGACTTCCACTTGAAGAGCTCGTGCACAGTCAACGAATTTTCTGTCACAGCATTTTCTGTTGTCGAGCAGAAAGCGTGTGTATTCTGGAAATAAGTTTGTGGAGCGATGCGGCGGAAAGTCTTTAGCGAAATATATGTTTATAACTATTACGGATCACCGCAGCCAACGCGAAGGTCGGTTTCATTTTTACTATAAATAGTTCTGTTATTAGTATTCTTCCTTATTTTCTCTCTTTTTGTCTCTTTTTACCTACCGTTATCTTTTTCCTTCTCTCTCTCCCATGCACATACACCCATCAAACATTCTAATAAAGTTTTCCTGCGCTCACTCCTTTTTGAAGTGTATTTTGTCAAGAATTCTGTTCTTTTAGCGTTTCTTTTTGCGGAAACAATGGTCACCTTTTGGTTGGGAAATGTCTAATTTTCAAAGGAAACTGCTAGAGAAAACCGTTCCACTGGCAGAAAATCTAGAATGATTCATGAACGCCGCACAGCTATGGCTTACGCCAGGATCAGCGTTGGGTCTTTCTTAAGCCTATCGGAAACCCATTAATAATTTTCTTATATTTACACGCTTCCGTTTCATTTAATTCTCAGTCTGTTTCCATAATCTTCATATTTTCTAATTTTTTCTCATCAAAGCCGTTTTTATGCTCTTTTTTGCTGGGTTCTTCTGGGTAACAAAGGTATCAACATGTCATTTCGAATGAAGAAGTCTACGACGGAGTTATCGAGGACTAGTTGGGTTCCTGTGTAGCCAGGTAGTATCTATAAATTCAGAACTTCTACCGAAAACTCCACTGCTTCTATTGAATGTGATCTTTGAATTTGTCGTCATCTTCCACCCATATGTGCGCTATTAATGGATCACCTTTTATGTTGATATGCTTTGAAAACCAGTTTAAAGCCGAAATTAAAACTGGCAGTTTCCTTATGCTGATGTTAAGAGAAATGATTTAGTGGTTTGAGCACACCTTTTTTTCTCGTCCTGCACTGTCGTTTGTCTGGTGATCACATCTGTAAGTAATAAAAGGAGCCCTTCGACGCGTGCATCTTCTGAGTTTTAAAGCTGAGAAGCGACGAGCAAAGAAAGACGATAGCGTCACCTTTGTTTTTCCTTATGATTTAGGCATTTTTCAATGATATAGAGAAATACTTCTAGTCGTGTTAGTGGTTGTGGATATCTTTCATTGATTGGAGTTATGTGTTCCTTTTTTTTCTATTTGTGACATTTTAAGGATCTGCACAATTTGTGGGAGCGTAGTAAAGTGCTACTTGACCTATTGATGACAATGTGAACCATATATGGGTCATTCTTAGCTAAAAATGGTCAGAACCTGCGACGCCAAAAACCCATATCCGACGTTGTAACGGACTTTATTAACATATTTGTGACGACATGACCTGACATGAAGTCAGAAAATGCGACAGTTGTGCCCTCTTTTAAGTTTCCACCAACAAATACACGCTCTTGGGTGAACTTTATTAGTTGAAATAAAGACCTTTAGAGCCTACAAATCCTTCTCAACATGATGCAGCTTTTCTTATTCTTTCAAGATGAAATTCTTCTTTTGCGGAGCTTCTCAAACTTCTGTGTTCAACTTTCTTTTTTCGTGAAAACTCGTATTTCTAGCACGAACACAGGAGGGGTTTTGTCCAATAGGACACCATGATCCTCGTATTGATGGGCTCGCAATGTGTTGTGCTGGCACTCTTACACCGGAAAATTGGATATTTTACATTTCTAACTAGATTTTATGGCACCCTCTCTTTAGCCTGTTAATACATGACATTGAAAAATTCGTATCATGTCTTCCAATTTTTGGCAGTTTTAGTTTTAGACGAACTTAAAATTGAAGGAAGAAGGAATATTTTATAGAAATTACAAATCCCCTTTAGGTGATAGAGGAATAGCGCAAGACGTCTTCTATAATTACGTAAATTTCTCCAATCTTCGAATAGTCCACTAATGGAGAAGTTATCATCGGTTGTCGAAAAACTAGCTTCGTCGCGAATGTGTTAATCGAGTGAGAAATCATTACAATCTACGCAGCGATGCCAACACAAAGTACAAGTCCATCTATTCTTCCACAATGAAATGCAGGGATCCTTGAGGGTCCCACCATGAATTGTTTTCTTTTCGTCCGCTGTTCTTATCTTTTCTTTTTTTTCGTCGAAACTCGTATTTGGAACGGCGAAACGAACGAAACGGAACTTTAATTCTGACTACCATGCGGAGGTTATGAACAAAGAAAAAGCGGGAAAACGGTGCCTGTTTTAGAGCGATAGCAAGAGGACTTTGTAAAGGAAATCAAATTTCTAGCCTAAACTTAGCAACTTCAAGCTCTAACAATTTACTGAAGAACACAGTTTCAATTGGCTGTTCGAAATCCAATATGGTCAGTCAGCTTGATGATGTTTGAAACACAGACATTGACGAAAAACGAACGAATAGAAACACGATTTCTATTCACCATTAGATCGGAATTTATTCATTATCGAATGAAAGCGCTCAATTCTCACTACTAAAAGCCTTTCGATTCTAACAGTTCTTTTTTTTCTACGTTCTTGTTGAACAAAAGGTGTTACTTTAGTCTTTTTTTTTTGGTAAAGCTGACGTTCCGGCAGATTTCGCCATCTTTAGACCCTGGGAAATCAATTTGACTGCAATCTACTCAGCAAAACACCTCCATAACCAAACAGAGAAAATGCTGAACCAAGATTTCAATCGCATTGAAAACAAAGTAGCTTCTTCTCCCACTCACCGCTTTCTATGAGTCTTGCACTGGGTATTTCACGTGAGGACCAGCTGCAAAACAGGCAGTTTACATTGAAGCATACTTTGCCTCCCAGAATAGAATATCAGTCTTAAATACTGCGTGTGGTCACGCGCGATTACGGGGCATTCCTCTGTGAGGTTCACTTTTGGATTCTTAGAATTTATTCAGAATGTCTCGAAGGTTTTGCGCGTTTAGGTTTGCTTTCTTTTTTCAGTCAGTAAAGTTTACTATGAGCTAAGATATGTTAACTCAAAGTTGGCAGTCTCAAATATTCCCGGGCTCATATGAACGGATATCAATTCGCGTTGGGTTCAAAGTATTAAATTTCGATACAAATCCGACGCTAGCAAAGAAATCTTCATGGGTGGTCCTATCTCTACAGAATTTCATTCTCAATAAAAGGTAATATGCAAATATTTGCTAACATGCATTCATTACTCATAGAGGGGAAAAAACTTCGTGCGCTTATTCATGGACAATAGCAAACAGGTTTCTATAAATTCCGCAGGTAAATCAACATTTGCAGTAAAATTTTATGTGAAAAGAGTGACTGAAGGATACTGTAGAGCAGACAAAATCGTATTGGTATCGCTCCGCAGCTCTAAATAAGTTAATGAACATCATGTTTTGTGCACTTTTAATAAATCGTTTATAAAGGATAGAGGATAAAGCGTTCAGCGTGGGAAAATCCGTAAGAGACGTACCATACATTCGATTTCATCAAGTATCGTTAGAGGCGACTGAATACTTAGTTAGCCTAGGCAATGACTTGCGATCGCCTACCGATGTATGAAGTCAGTGATGCCATCCTACCTGAGGTCTGGTATGAATTTGCCGACCCCGGAGGGATGGAAGGCTTGGTGAACCTGGGGCGTGAGAAATCATTAATATGAAAAAGAAATTAGTGCAGTAAAGAGGGACTTCGATAAGCTTTAGTAATCGTTAAAAATTTGTTTTGCAGAGCGAAGACGATATCTGCAGAATGCGACGAGCCACTGTTACAGGAGAAGGTGATACATTCGGCAACGCAATGCGCGTTCGCGACGTCGCAACTGGTCGCGTGCGCCAGAGTTGTCGCGCCGACCATCGAGAGCCTTGCCTGTCAAGAACAGCTCACCAGTGCTGCCAAACAGGTGAGAGTTTTCCTAGCCAAAAGTCTATTCTGCAGAACTATATCACTTTCTGACTCATTACTCGATTCTCATCACCTTGATTACATTGTTGCTTACTTCTTACTCTCCATATCTGTAGCTTCCTGTTTCATTACTCGATCCTATAAGTCATATCTTCATATTCCTAACGATGCTTGATGATGATCATCACAATCTGACGTCATTCTGGTGTTTTTCCCAAAAGTTGCGTGTCTTTTGAGTAGCATTATGGATCATGTATTGGTTAAGCTAAGGTGGTTCCTATGTTGGTTTTATCACCTTCTAAATCTCATTAGATTCACTGGAATTCCTTGCTTTTTATCCCAAGCCCTTTCAGTCATGAAGCAGGAATTTAAGAATTATTCTGTTTTTGTCCCATGGCGTCTTATATTTGCTTATTTTAATAATACCTCATTATTTCTTCTTATTCGATGAAATGGCCAAATATGTTGTTTTTGAAGAACGAAATTCTCTGGGAGCCATTGCTTTTACAACGCAAAAGAGCTTTTGTTCACTTGATTTTTGACGTTGGTCTTTTTCTTTCTGGAGAGCACGAAGTTGTCCAACGACGTGTTGTTTGATTCAATAATAATAATAATAAATAATCCCTTTCCTGCGTCACCGTTGCCAAAAAAGTTCAAATATGATTTATACGCCCCATTATGCCTGTCTGACGAGCAACCCGTCCAGGTATCGTATGCAGTCACCGAACTTCTTCACGATGCCGAGCATGCCTGCCAAAGAAGTCATGCGGACGGCCGACAAGCGCTTGGAGATATCCATGAGGCTGCCAGACAAGTATGTTTTTTCCAGTAAAAATTTGAATTTTTTGAAAAAATTTTGACTGTCATCGAACTTAATACTCTACGGTAGCTTCTTGCAATGAGAAGGAGTGCAATGACAACGAAAAATACCGGTCTACTGTTACAAAGCTACAATGATCAAAATTTCGCCGTAAATTTGCGCGATTTTCGGCGTCAATTAAAGGCTCTTCTTCCGTAATTACACTTTTTTGCAGGTCACTCATGCTCTCGACAGTCTTCTAGAGCATGTGAAGACGTCGCCGAAGATTACGAAAACATCAGAAGAAGAACAATATAACGAAGTTTTGAGGACGACACATAGACTGATCGCGCATCAGGTTTGTATCATCATTCCAGAGCTCGACTGTGTAGATTCGAGCTGCAGAAAAGTTCAACTTAGGAAGTGACTTAGTAAAAGTTTATGTCGTAATTACGGCAAGAATATCAATAGATGACAAATTATGGCAGGTGTAGAACTTAGCCGAAACATTTGTTCCGTAGAAAAGTTTCCTACATTTTAGATCATTTTATTATTGATTTAAATAAAAGGCAAAGAAGGGTTTCCATTCTAGGGGCCGAGCGAAGATCTGACTCGTGAGGCTAAGAAAGTGATTCGTCACAGTCAGATCCTTATGGAGCAGTTTGAGCAGGAGGCTCACGAACGCCCCGAGCATAAAGATCGTCTCTTGGCGGCTGCACGTCGTGTGGCCACTGCCACAAGTGATATGATCGACGCTACCAGGGTTCGTTATGACGTTATTTTGGTTTCTTCAACTATCCGGCCAATACTTGTTTCAGTCGTCTTTTGATGACGAAAACATTTTTGTTCTCTGGATGTCTTTAAGACGATTGTAAGTGAGAACTATATTTGGCAGAATAGTGCAGAATGCATTTGTCGCTCGGTTGCCTTTATTGTCAATCCTAGTAGTGGGCGAGTAACACTAGTAGTGCTGCCGATCATCACTTGCACGGTACTAGTTCGACCTCGCCTCGAACTCAGCAAAGCTCTTATTCCCCTGGGATCCGAAACTCTCTGTAATTTAAGTGCGAACAGCGCAGCCTGGCTATCTCAGGACTCCAGAGAGAATCGAGTTGAACATCATTCAACGACAAAAATGGTAAAAAGAATATCTTCAAGTAACATCCGAACTCACACATGAAAAGTTCGGGGATCATCGCGGATGATGAATGTTGGGAAAAGAATCGAATGCGGAAACGCTGGGATCCGCAGAACGGATGTGAAAAACGGGTCGCGTAAAAAAGAAGTCAACCCTGGTGATAAAAGTGGCGACGTCTTCGTAATATTAATCCTTTCACGACCATGACCATTTTCGCCTTTCGGACTCATCGGCCCTTGTATTGTTGAAGTTCAGTCGAAATGCGCATTGAAATCAAGGTTTACGGTACGAGACATACAATAACGTACATATTGAAATCAACACGCGTGGTCATGAGAGGGTCGTAAAGGTGTTATGTGGCCAAAAAGTAGGTTCTGGTCAATGGTATGCACTAAATAGTTGTTACAATGCAGAAGATTTTTAATCCTTTGCGATCGCAGCCATTTCCGAGTATCCGGCTCGTCGGACCACCTATGATAGGCGCGCAGTCGAAATGCGTATTGAAGTAAGATATAAGCTAAAAAAAAATAGCGCTATAGGCATTGATCAATGCCTGAGGGAAGCGCTATGCAAGTGGTGGCCTACCCGGATATCAAGTCGTTGTGACTATCCTCAGTCGTCAACCATATGCGACTATAATCAGCTGTTCTAAACTTCCTCATTGGAAGTCACGAAAAAGCGGCTCTGAAGAAAGCGATACTGCCGAAACGTCAGCTAGTGTTGTATTATACTGTGTTTTTCTATGGAAGTAAATGTATGCTGTTAAAAACCTCGCGATTGCTGAACAAGGAAACGACGTATCCTCAGAGACGTTTGATACCAATTTGCCGACCCTGGAGGCAGGAAAGACTTAGTGAGCTTAGAGCGTGGGATGGAACCAATGTGTATTGCAGCGTACCTCTAACTACTGTGCACACGCCGCCGTGAAAGGCAGCGGTATTTTCGTCGGTTGACGAACTAGTAATGTTGGCCTCTTTAATTTTGTTCAAATTAGTAAATAATGAGTCGCTCATGAGTTGAATTCATATTAGGAATGCGAATCACGACCGACTGAAGCCGAGTCGGAGATGGCACTAAGAAATGCTGCTGAGCGTCTGGTAACGGTGACAAATGAGACGACCAGCGAGCAACAAGCGAAGCACATCATGGAGAAGCTGGAGCAGGCCGCACGTCAAACCGCCTACGACGCGACGCAGACGATCGCTGCCGCCAACGCCGCTAAGGTACGATATATGCTAATTGAAATCTCCAAATAGTTGTTTGGTACGCTATACCTTCTGTTCTGTTTGGGTTAAAACTGTCGAAGCTGTGTACACAGTGAGAGTGAAGTACTGATAGTGGACTTTATTACTGAATTCAATATATTTACTTCTAATATCAATCAATTCTTGGTCGCTGAACTCACATTTCATATTTCATCCGTTTAAATGATCAAAACGACCTTTATCCAAAATGACTGATATTTCTCCCTAGTATAGCTATGGCTGGACGTAGGTGTAGATTTGTTGCGACCTCAGTACTTCTCATTATAATTGTCAGCGAAACCTTTGAAAAACACGTAGTCAGTGAAAACAGCTTGGCTAGTTAGAGCCAGGATTATTGGAATGAGACGAAGAAGGTTTACTGTTATAGTAATAGTGATAGTATTAGTCTAAGCAAGTGATCAAGGTGTAAAACATGCGCCATTGATAATCGGCTCTGATCCAGGTGAAGTAACTTTTCACTGTTTAACTGCTTATGGACTACAGTGTAATTCAAAGATCTGGGAAGGAAAATGCAAAAATATTTGCCCTTGTGCAGCCTTTGAACTCATGAGCTGTTTATGAACAGAAGACAATGAGTTTTTTTTCCTTAAATGAACTTCAGTTTCAATTTAAACTATTCAAAGAACATCTGATCAAAGCGGGACTTTGTTCAATGCATGATTTTTGGGACACTTCGAAGAGTTCTGCTTGTAGAAGTGTGAACCTTCTCAGCACGGTTTCGGTAGACTACTTCGTTCAGGAGACGTACAAACGAGCGGAGACCACGGAGCAGCTTCTAGTTGATGACACGCACACCATACTTCGTATCCGTTAATCATCAACACTTTCTCGAAGGAGCGCGTACATATCTCGCCTAAACCACACCAATCATCCACGCTTTAACATAGCCGTGACCACACTCTGTTGTTCTGTACCTAGTCCTGCCGAATCGCACTGCCATGTTCTTCCTTCGATAGGGGTGACATCTTTCATTCTCAAAAATCAACTGTATCATCACCTTTCATTTTTGCTACCAACGCTTTCGCGAACTTTGATTCTATCACATCACATATTTTACTATAAATTGTATAGTTGTGAATTCGGGAGTATAATAAACCCTGATGACCTTAAAAGTGAACTCTATTGTTGGTTTACACGAGTGAATGGGACGTGCGCATAGATGGATCAAGTAAGTGGCGGTGTGCGGTGCTCCTTGGTTATCCGATTGAGAGTCTCTAAGAACGAAGTAAACTACTAATTGGCATGCGTTTATGAAAAAATAACCCTCGAAATTGTCTAGAATTTGTCAATAATCGTTTCCTTTGTCCTAGGAACTGATAAAGACGAAGACCACCGTTGAGAATTTGGTTTATGAATGTACAGAAACTGCGGAGCACATTCCAAAGTGAGTTTAACGAAATATCTGTGAATTAGAACTGTGGTTTTAAGTGATTTCACTTGTTCGATTTCTGTATAGATTAATAACGTCGATTCGAGAAAGCCAGCAATCACAATCACCTGGCGAGAAATTCCGCTCCCAGAGTCGTCTCATAAGAGACTCTCATCAGGTAAGACCGCTATCTAACTTACTTTAGTTTTCTTGTCTATGCCACTATACTTTCGTATTAAGTGCTTTTTTTCGCTAAGTTTCTTGTAGTAATGTTATGATGGCATCACAAACAATACATAAGTTTTACAGATTCTCACGCCGGCTACTCGCCTGGTGGAAGTCGCCCGCAACTCAGTGGCTCATGTAAGCGAACCGCATATTGCGTCTAACCTACAGCAGACCAGTAATGCATTGTCGACGAACCTTGCTGAATTGAGAACGGCGCTCAATGCTGCACAGCAACTGAACTTCAGTCAACAACTGTACCATAGTGAGGAGCTGATCAGGGTAAGTCAATCATTTTATAAGATACTCGCAAGCTTTAGCTCTAATTAGTGAAATCAGGTCTGTACTTTTTCTTAGGAACTCGACCAGGAACTGCTGGATGTACAGAAAGCCGCTCAATCGAATCAAATAACACCACCACGTGGAGTGACTGGACAGACGGCTACTTCACATTTGATGTCGTCCGCCAGACAGGTAGATAAATCAAAGCGTGTAGTTAAAAATAAGGTGCTATAACTTTTGGGAACTAATTTAATGAATGCGATTGTAACTGATTTAAACTGGGATTCTGTTAAGGTTGGCAGTAGTATTGCACAGCTTGTCTCGGCAGCAACTAGTAAAGACGAACAGCATATCGGTGCGTCAGCTGTGGAAGCTGCCCAGAGTCTACGTGCATTTACCACTGGTGTGACCGAAGTCGTCTCAACGAGAACCGACGTTCAACTGGACTCGTTAGTTTCTCTTGCCTTTGTCGGATTCCCACAAAGAATTTTTATTTCGGCCCACTTCTTAGGAAGTTTCCTCCTGGGATCCCTCAGTATTTGCTCTAGGGTTACCGTACCTAATATTATGCAGTACCCTATTCTTATTGTTGTTGAAGAAAAACAATGTTATACATCAGTTTCATCGTCTCCTCTCGCTCTGTTGTACATGATTCTGGGCGAGTATTCGATCGTGTCCGCGATCAGGCACCTCCGAGCGTATTGGCTGATGCTGCTAAACAGGTACATTTTCGCTCCAAATTAACGTTAAAACTTTGCCAGCTACATTGCTTATAGATTTTTAACAATCTTAGGTGTCCACAAGTCTTCGTCAAGTGATAGCATGCTTACCGGATAATCAGGCAGTTGAGAAGGCGATCACACAAATCCGTACGATCAGCGTGTCGGCAACGGTTCATGAACCCGATGTTCGCGTCGCAGCGTCGCGCCTCGTCGACGCAACATCGCAACTAGTTCTCTCACTTCGATCACGGAATACTCATGAAGCGATTAATGCATTTGTGACGACGTACACCGATTTCCATATCTCGGTGATCACTTCTGTGAAAAATCTACCGGTATGTGTTAAGATTCGGTAAAAAATAGGCAAAAAAGGTATGGACCTTGGCTCTACTGAAGAAGAAACGGGAGGAATTGGATCCATAACAAGTTCAGAAGTCCTATAAATTTGGCACTAGTACTGTAGCTTAAGAATTCAACAAATTGCCTATATGAATGGTTTTTTGATCGAACTTTGTCTAAAGATGTGCTAGTGCTAGTTGTTTGGCTATTAATTAGATGCATTTCAATGTAGCACATGGAGTTGCTAATTTCCAATTATATTAATTGAACACGGGTTACTGTAGCTTCGTAAGCAAATTCTAGATTTGAAAACTGATCCTCATATATTGCAAATGACTATGATAACGATTTCAGGATATGGAATCCCGTCGTCGTACTGTAGATAATCTGGAGACAGCTAGAGAGGAGTCGGTAGTATTGCTATCTTATGTTGGTACGGCGACAAGTGACATAACACAAACAACTAACGTAACGCAAGCGTCACGCAAGTTGATTGAGACGGTGAACGAACTCGTTGGACAGGTCGGCGTTGAACAACCGTGGCAACGCGAATGTGATGCAGCATTGCGACAGATCCAAGTGGGATGAAACTCTGTCGATATCACTTGAAATCCTGGAAATTTTTCCAAGACGAGGCATTGCAGGGCATACGCCATCTTACGGAGCACGCTAATGTTCCAGTGAACAACTCTACTTATTTCGGTTGTCTGGACACGATCACCGAGCAGTCTAGACATCTGGGAGAATCCATGACCGGCATCGCTAGAAACGCTAAAGCCGTAGACGCCCGTGCATTGTGCACTAATGTCAGGTGAGCTTCTGCCTATGTAATATCTAGCAAGGAATTTAGTCCTCATCCTCATAGGCCATTTTTTCTTTAAATGGAAAGTGATTTGTTATTGGTATGGAACGAGATCCATATCTGCTTGATTACGTTTGAGATTATCCATGTACATCTTTTTTATGACTTTCTGACATCACATTTTTACATTTTGGCCGCTTGCAGGCAATCGGCAGATGCCGTATGTTCTCTTGCTGAGTCCGCATCACAAGCCGCCTATCTCATCGGAATCGCGCATCCGAAAAGTGTGAGAGGAGAAGCGGCAATCATTGACGCGAATCGTGTGCGTCGTAGTGGATTGTTGGTTCGCCAAGTTTGTGAACGCATCGAACAACAGAACTACACACAAGAACAGATCATTGATGTGAGCTCTCCTTTCCCTTATTAGTAGTGAGACGCATACTATGTGCATTAGTCAACAAAAGCATAGGATATTCTTGGTTGATATCAACTGAACTGTGGCGCATGTAGCGCAATGGATGCCTTGTAATGCGCATAGGATCGTAGGTTCGACCTGTTATCATAAGTAAACAATCTCTCCTTTCTGGGATCGACAGCTTGGTACTGCACTTATTTCGGAGGATCGGGACGTTGATTTGACTCATCGGTGGACTTCCCCAAATCGATCATTGGACATGCCAGATATGCATTCAGTCACCTCTACGATGCTTGGTAAAATCGAATGTACGGCGGATGGCGGTCCATTCAGGGATTGATCAACCCCGAACTCACTATTGTGTAAACTATTAAATGTTGATGGCCGTAAACTGGAATAGTAGATGACTGTTTTACTAAATTTCAAGTGGAAGTCATGGAAATAAAGTTTAGCTATGTGGATATCAACAGCTGTGATGTTAGTTCACTTAGGGAATAAAACTTATGGATTTTTGGATAAAGTCTTTAAAAAACTTGGACACGTTTTTTTTACGCCAGAATATCTCATTTTTTACCCATTTCCAAGCTCTCCTAGGTACACACTGGAAAGTGAATGCTTTGTTCCATCTTCATCTTATGTTTTAGGATGCCACTGTCGTCGCGAAGCACACTTCGAATATGGCAAATATGTGCCGCGAAGCATCGGAGAAATCGCAGAACGTGAACGTCAAGAAAGAGTTCATAAACTGTGCCGGCAAAGTAGCGGCTGGTACGGCGAAGTTGATCACAGCAGTAAAGCAACTCGACAGCAAGCCGAGGTTTGTACTTACGGTTCTCCCTGTTCTCCTAAAATTTTGTACATATTTCTTCTAGAGGCATTTTTTTGGGAATTCTGAAAACTTTGCTTGTAAAAATCATGCTTCAAAAATTACTTGATTTCAAGTGCTGAAACTCGTGAGGTGTGCACTTCGGCCGCTCAATCTCTTCGAACAGCCACCGAACAACTCGAAAGCTATGTGGACAATCCGGATTTCGCCGGAGTACCGGCTAGAATCAGCCCTTCCGGTCGTGATGCTCAGATCCCGGTACTGACGTCGGCCAGACAAATGTTAGATGCAAGTTGCGAGATGATCAGGTAGATTGTTACTTTAAAAATTCAGTTTTGCTTCTTAGGACCAACTGAGCGGTCTTACGTAGATAGTGATTGGTGGTGTTCTATTTTAGCACAGCCAAGAACCTTGCAGTGGCCCCTATGGATGCGCCAACGTGGCAACGTTTGGCTGACAACAGCAAAGAGGTTTGAATTTCTGTACGTATGTACAATGAATCAGCGAATTGGTTACGGAATTATTACACCACATTTCGTTCAGGTGAGTGAATCTATTAAGCGGATGGTAAGTGCGATTCATGCGGCTGCGCCAGGACAAGCCGAATTGGACAGATGTATCCGACAACTGGAACAGGTGAGCATTATTTGATAGTTCACTGTCATTTGTAATCGCATTCAACATCAACCGCTGGTTCTCAATAGAATCCACCAGTCACTGAGTGATATCGGATTTTTTCTCGTTTGTGCCTAAAACTTCTTCTTAGTTGTTCCGATTCACAATGGTCTGCTCTGTCCATTGTCTTTGAAATACCATGTGCTAATTATCCATTCGCGCTCAGACTTTTTAATAGACAACGTGGATTAAATAAATTTTGCTTCTTTCCCGAATATAATCATTATTCCATTTCTGGTAAACATGGATTTGAACTACTATTTCGGATATCCCTATATTGGCTTAGGTTATTGAACTGTAACTGTTTCCAGTTTTTATTGAACAGCCTTTTAAGAATATGTTTTAATCCAAAAGTAAAGCCTTATATTGATTTCGTATTCCAGCTTATCGTCGATGTAGAGCGCAGCTCACTCGACATGAGTGGAGCTCAGGGTGAAGTGTCCTCATCGGCTGCTGAGAAGCTAATTCATCAGTCAATTCTTTGCGCGTCACAGAGCCTTGCGGAAAAAGTGGATGAGTTGCGAACAGCAGCCATTTCTAGGGTGATATACTTGTTATTTCTATTCTGGTGTGATTCTTTAGTGCTTTTTTAAACTCTTCTTTTTTTGTAGGGTGAAGCGTTACCGCATTGTGTGGAAGCGCACTGGGAGACTGTTCAACCGCTAGCAGTGTCCGCGTGTGAAGCAGCAGCGATTGCACGAGACAGTCGTCAGCAAGCCGAATTGTTCGATAAATGTCGTACTGTTGTTGAAGCTGAACTTCAAATGATGTACGCTTGTCGAGATGCTGCTGGGAATCCGAAGGTAGTGTAACAGCAACGTAACAGATCCTCATAACTACTTTAGTCCCGTTAATTCTAGGCAGTCGAAGCGCATTCACGCGTTGACGAAGCTGCAGTACAACTAAAGGACGCACTCGACGATATGAGGAGTACTGTAAGCGCTATTAGTAGCGAGCAGGGTGAGTATGCGATTTTCTCGAATCTGACTGGGAGCATACATGTTTTAGTCGTTGGGCAAATAACAATCAAACCAATCAGCGTGTCATGAAAATATATTTGGAATAGAACAAAGGTTGAACATTGCGTTTTTTTAATCATTTGGAAAACCATCTTTCAAAGAGACATCTTAGACTGTGAAATCGATACACATGGCGACAATCAATTGAATCTAATCGGTGTTTTAACATGTCTGAAGTTATTGCAGGAGTTATCCAAGGCATGGTGGAGACGATCTCACATTCAATCGCCGGTACCGATACTCTGCAGACCGCTACTCATGGGGCATCATTTGCTGATGCACAAACTAAAATTAATACGTATCTTGAAGATATCAGGTTCCGATGATAATTCCAATTTTTCTAATGGAAAATGAGGCGTAGGTCAACTGAATAACTGATTTTTACGGCTATGATTAACCCGCCGTAAACTGGTTTTGTGTCTAGCATCTTAAATCCCTAATATTCTCTCTCAACATAAATTGTCTTCTCTCATCCATCACTTACTATATTTCAGACGATGCGCAACCGATATGCCGTATGCAGAACCACAATCACTTGGTAATATGGCGCTTACCTTAAGTGAAAAGTATCGACTACTGGCTGAGGAGGCTAGACAGGTAAGGAAATGCACGCCTTATGCAGTATTTACGCTATACATACATTTTCAGGCGGTTTCTATGCTTCCATCACCTAGTTTAGCTCAAAAGCTCAAAGTGTCAGTGCAGAAACTTGGTACTTCATGTATAGACGCTGTGAAAGTGGCCGGACAGCGCAGAGCTCATCCAACGGATCAGGTCAATTGATTTATTATCGTCGCTTTCTGTGGAAATGGAAGCGCGTGTTACGCAGTGGTTAGAGGAGTGTTGTAATGCACACGTGGTCATCGGTTCGATTCACCCACCCAGGGCTCACCAAACTTTACACCTTCCGTGGTCGGTGCAGTTTCCTCTCAGACTTATTTGGGAAGATGGCACCACTGACTTAATTGATCAGTACGCCTCCACAGATACTCTGTAGGTTAGATGTGCACTCACTAATCTCTAACGATGCTTGATGAAATCGAATGCATGGGGATCTCTCGGGATCGATCAACGCGAAACACATCCTTCCGTCAAATGTGCTTATTGTCATTGTTTTTAGCGCACACATCGTGAGCTAACCGATAGTACTCGTGTTGTCGTGGAACGTGTGAATGAAGTATTGGCGTCACTTCACGAAGGCTCTAAAGGCACACAAGCCTGCATAAATGCGGCGAATACCGTATCCGGAATCATAGGCGATCTAGACACGACTATATTATTTGCTACAAGTGGAAGTTTGAACTTTACTGGCGAACAGCGTGATTTCAACGAGCACAGGTGAAGAAGATTCTTCTTACAATTGGTTTCTACTAACGCCCTTTGACCTTTTATCATTCTTTGAACATTATCAAATCGAGGCTGTTTAGAGTAGCGATCATTAAGACGGCAAAAGCGCTCGTTGAGGACACCAAAGCCCTAGTTGCTGGGGCAGCATCGAACCAGGAACAGCTGGCAGTTGCAGCGCAGAATGCTGTGCGAACCATTATCAATCTATCCGATGCGGTCAAAAACGGTGCCGGCAGTCTTCCGAGTTCGAACTCTGAGGCCCAGGTACGCGGTTAACCCGGAGAGTATATCTCTGAGTGCGACCGGTGAGATTGTGTTGATTATCTCAGGTGCTTGTGATACACGCTGTTCGTGACGTGGCGGCGTCGTTGTCGGCGTTAATTCAAGCAACGAAAAACGCTTCGGGACGTTCGCTTCACGATCCAGCTATGGGCCATCTGAAGGAGGCGGCTAAGGCAAGTTCATCTTTGATGGCTTGTCAAATTCTGAAGATTTGCCGGATCATGAAGCGTCGTTTGTCACTAAACTTAATGCTGTGTTTCAAAAAAACTTGAAGCGTTTTAAAACATGGAATACAAGAAAGCAATGGTGCATTGATGATTCATTAAGTCATTTAGTACAATGGAATTTGATTCTTTCTAAGTCTGGCGTAATGGGTTGGAATAGCACTAGAGCAAAAGGAGGAGGATCAAGGACTAGACGCTATTGAATGAATAGACATGATAATGGAAGACATTCATTCAATCTGTCGCTGTTTGGATTTCTTAAAATCATTTCGAAATTTCAGACCATGGTGTCAAATGTGACATCATTGCTAAAGATCGTTAAGACTGTAGAGGACAAGACTCAGCAAGGCACAAGGGCGTTAGAGGCAGCTATAGACGCCATAGGAATCGAAATCAAGGTTCATTAGAGTATTTTAATACATTGTTGCTACATTTTGAAAATATTAATATGAATACGGTGGAATTATTCCCTACATGGCTAAACTAGGAATCTATAGTGATCTTTTTCCAGACATATGACCATGAAACTGGCGAAGGCACATCGGGCCCAATAGGTGCTACACCAGAGCACTTAGCCCGTGCCACAAAGCGCGTCACCGACGCTACAACTCGTCTGGCCGGTGCTGCGCAGACTCTACAACAGAGCGATGTGATAGCTGCTGCGAATATGGCACGAGCGGCTGTCAGTGAACTGCTCATGGTATCGCGAGCAGCTGCTGCTGATGCCGATTCGCCTGAATCCAGATATAGAACACTAGATTCAGGTCGTGATGTGGCAACTCAGGTGAGGAGGAGTATTATCGGAGTGGGCTGTTCAACTAATCGATCCGATCCGTCTGCGCGTTCTTATCCCAGTTATATCTCGTCTATTCAGGTGCGAGGTTTGCTTGTCGCATTGCACACAGTACTGGCTCGAAACGCGGATCAGTCTTCGCGTCAGTTGCTACTCGATGCTTCAAGAGGAGTTGCACGAGCAGTGAGAGATCTTATCGGATGCAGCGAGTTATTGAAGGTGGTGGCATTGTTCATGAAGAAGTTGACAATATGACTCTTGGTCTTGGTTAAGAAGAGATAATCTATATTAAATGCTATTTAATTATATCGTGAATCAGTTTACACTTCTACAGGGTGACACATGGGCTGATCACTCTGATCCAACTGTTATTGCCGAGAATGAATTGATGGGAGCAGCAAGTTCAATTGAGGCTGCCGCTGTAAAATTGGCAGAACTTCGTCCGCGAGTACAGCCGGTTCGTCCGATCAGAATATCCTGTTATTTTCCTCTTCGACGTATCTTTTTATTTCTAGCATATGAAGCTTCCTTCCGCAATTTTTCTCTTTCCATCTTTTGTCCATGCATAACCTTACCTACCATCCACCTTTGGTCGCCTTAGCTCTGATATGTCTGGTATTCTTGGGTTCATTGACAACCAGAACTATTAGACATATCGAAGATCGGGTGTACCTTCCGCACTGGCCTTTAACCTTCTTCTCTTTTCCGCTTTCATAATGTTCTGTTTTCCTCTTTTCGCCACAACGACCAATGTACATAAATTTTCAGAAAACCGATGGGAATTTAGCATTTGATGAACAAATTCTGAGCGCTGCGAAGTCAATCACAGCTGCCGTACAAACGCTGGTTAAAGCTGCATCGTCGGCCCAACGAGAACTTGTGGCTCAAGGTAAACTGAGACCTAGTGCTACACCTTTTTCTTTTTTTTTGCTGAACATGGACAAGCAGTAATTTATAGTTCGTAAATGAGGAATTTATTAAATAACGGTTGACCTACACGGGGAATTTTACCCGTGAAATAAATGCATAGTGGATAACGAGAACGATAAATATTGATTGCCGGCGTAGTGAACGAGTTATTTGTAAGGATACATAGCTTACCATTACTCTTTCGTTGGAAGAGATGGGAAAAGTGGGATTTTAATGAAGTCACAATACCGTCAGAATTTTTATTTCGACTAGAAATCGGTCCTACTTGTACTCCTTAGGCGGCATTCACAAAATTTGACCGGTTAACTGAGTGTAGTTTTTAAGAATCTGCGTTCTTTATGCGCTCATAACCTTCACATTCTGTCCTTAAGTACTATTTCACCTAACTTTGTGAGTAAAAGTAGTCACAGAGAATTAAGTTCGCCGTGATTTTAGGTCGTCTAGACCACCCACAGCAGCACAGCGAAGATTATCAGTGGTCTGAGGTGGCTGTTAAGCTCTTTTTTTCCTTTGATTTTAATTTTCCTCATCATCGTAAGTTTAACCATTCAGGGTTTGATAAGTGCAGCGCGATTTGTCGTTGCCGCAGTTCATCAGCTTTGTGAAGCAGCGAATGCCCTCGTACAGGGTCAAGCTAGTGAGGAGAAGTTGATCTCTGCTGCCAAACAGGTGTGTTTCTGAAGGATTTTTGTTTCTTTCTGCAGTTTCTCTTTTGAATTGTGTTGATGTCATAAAAAAATTACTTAAGGTGGCTGCGTCAACCGCTCAACTACTAGTGGCCTGTAACGTGAAAGCCGACATGGATAGTCAGGCCAGGAGAAGACTACAAGCTGCCGGACACGCTGTTAAGGTAGTTTTTACTACGGTAGCATTTTTTTGTTTGATTTAATGTGGAGCTATATATCATTGAAAAATTCTTTGGTTTTTGCTGTGATCTACAGATCGTTGCAGGGATTCACACTATTCTTGTCATGTAGACTAACGTTTAGAAATTTTTCTAAAGGAAAAGAAGAGTGAATAGTATTATGGCTTGTTTCATTCATTAATTGGGGCGTAGTTTGTCCGGCGCACTTGCTTGGGTAGTTTAGTGACTCTTGTACTTTCCTATGGTATGTAATAAGATTAGCTTTTAGTGTTTGCAAATATCTCTTCTCTATTGTTAGTGGTCAGGTGTCGTTTTGTTTACAGACTGCCACAGAACGTTTAGTCAGTTCTGCTAGACAGAGTGTGGTAGAGGACGAGCGGAACATTATCATCTCTGATCGCCTGGTCAGCGGCATCGCGCAGGTTTGTGCAATAACATTTTCACCTATACATGATTCTCTTTTCATTTAATGAATTGAGAGTGTTTTTGAATTTAAGCAATTAAACAGTGATCGATTTTTTTCCATTAATAAGCCGACACGACGTTCTTCAGAAGAAGGTAAAGGGGCCGAAACGTTACCCGAGTAAAATTTTCATACCACTGCGTCTTAGTTTATCAATGGAAAAACAAACATTGATTATTCATTAAATAAAAGTTGGTCTCCAATACATGGGCTCCTTTGCCTCCCTTCATTGTCGATGACGTAAATTGAGTCCATTGTTGATTTGATTCCATTGACTCGTGAAAAACGATAATTTGACTGAACTTTGTGGGGCTATGTTTCGTTAAGTCTTGAGGAATACGTGAAGTAGTTTTGTAGGTGACAAACCTAGATTTACAGAAGGGGAGTTTTCGCGCTGTTTTTACTACTTTTTTCTTCGTGATAAATGACATAGAAAACAGAGGTAGGTTATAGTGATGGTTACGGTAATAGCTGGTAGGCATAGAAAAGAATAAAGCTCTCGGCGTTGATCAATCCCTGAAGAATAAGCCGTGCATTCCACTTCGTTAAGTATCGTTGGTGGTGATTGAATTCATATCTGGCCTTTACAATGACTCGCGGTGGCCTACCGATGTATCGAATTAGTGGTGCTATCCTCCCTACCCCGGAGGGATGGAAGACTTGGTGGGTCATGGGCGCGGGGATCGATTCCACGTGTATGTCGTAGTGGCGTCTCCAACCGCTGCGTCACACGCGCCCTGGTAGGCAGAGTGAGTTGAATATCGAGTATATAAAATATTATATGAACATATGAATGTAGTTGAATAATATATTGAATATCCCCGTTTCGTCGTATTGATAATCTGTCTTGTTTATTCCAGGTGATGGATGCACAAGAACAGGTTTTACGTAAGGAGAAAGAACTCGTTCATGCCAGAGAACGTCTTGCAAATCTCAACAAAGCGAGATACGAACGTGGAGTATCGCCAGATCAGTAGCTTAGCCATAGTTTCACGTCTAACATTGGTTTCTCAGTGGAGGTGCCATTCACCATCTTCTTCTCCTTTTCTGCATCTTCTCTTTACTTTACTGCCGTCTTTTTCTTTTACTTCATGATATTGATTGTACATAGGCTTTTTTCTGTCCATCTTACACTAACTGACATATCGCATATCGTTTGTTACATCTGAATTTTTCCGCTCTCAAAAAACTACTAGCCGTAGTCGTACTCTGTTTCGGCCCTTCTAACTTCATATTTGTGCCTTGGCTTCCTTGATTCTGCCAACAACAGCTGATTTTGTAATGCTACGGTTTATATTTATAATTTTTTTATCACTAACTCCTGTGCTTGCCCTTCGCAACACCTATTTTTTTCGTTATCCGGGCCACATATACATGTTTTTCCTTGTTTGCTCGAAAAATTTGAGCGACTACGATTTTTCCAATCGATATTCTATCGATTTTACTTTGTTATTTTGCATAATAATGAAAGATTCTATTCTGTATATGGTGCTGTAGAAGGAAGAAACGTTGATATTTTCTTGCCAGCACCACCGACCCGTTTGATTTCCGCTCAGTAAGATACGTTTCCATGTTCCCATGTTATCGTTAAATATGATACTTCTTTGAAAGGAGTTTTGCCACCATCGACATTCAGCGATGAACAAGCAAGGGACAAGAAGAACAATTTTAACTGCAATAGAGCTCGGCAGTCCTTCGAAATAGTGAAAAATATGGGTTAGGTGGATAGAAGTAATACGTATAACGGAAGAAGGGTAAATAATTAAGTCTTCGTCGTTAATCAATTCATGGTAAGCCATTCGATTACATTTACCGTCGTAGAGCTGATTGAGTGGTTCTAGCGATGTACCAATTCAGTGATTTCATCTTTTTACACAAGTACAATACCAATTTGTTGAAGCCGAAGGCATCAGGGCATTGTTAGTCTGCGTACGCGGTGGAACCAACGGCCAAGCATGAATTGCGGTGCACCGCTGACCACTGGTCACATTCGTCTTTGCTGCTCACTACCCACTTAGCTCTTCATACGGTAAGAGTTTTGTGTCGAATCTTCAGCTTTAGGGTAGAAATCGGATACCTGGGCCCACCGTAGCTAAATTTTGAGGCAGCGCTTTCTGGCTATCATTGTGGAATGTTATATCGAAAGGCCGATCAGACGATAGTGACTTCATGACCCAATTTACGTTCAACTAGGACGTCTAAACGAAGGGGTTTAAACTTGTTTACGAAAACTGGGCAAGCGGTATGATGCCTTTGGTGTCCATCAATCAAGCCGATATCATGGGAAAGCCCGGAAGGCTGGTATATGGACAAAATAGTTCCTTTGGAACATCCGATGATCAAAAAAGGTGGAGAATATGGAAAGAAAAAAAAGATGGTGGAAATGATTTGTCGAGGACAACTGAGAACCGTTCCTTCACCATAAATTTTCTTTATTGACAATAGTTCTTATCCAGTAAAATCAAACGTACTCACAACATTACACGAACATGATCCTCGTACGTTGCGAAGAAATCAATAAAGCAGATGTTTTGGGAGAAAGTTTTCGTAGAAAACTATTCTTTGTGAAAATCACACAAAAAATATGGACAACTTTTTGGTCACCTCATAAACTAGTGAAAGAATGACCGACTAAGAATAGTTCTATTCATAGTTTTTGCCATGAAAGCACTCTGTTGAGCTTGTAGAGTCTCAGTGAGATCTAAGTTGACCTCACTTTGTAAATAAACCCGAACCGAAAAAATAGGTTTCTTTTCGACTCAACTGTTTCCCGAAACTGGATGGATCGATGGAGCACGAATCGAATGGATCAATCAACTTCATGACCACACTGATGTATATCAAGGTGATTTGATAGCCGGTTTATATTGCCTGCTAGATATCACTATGACATTTTCTACAAGACGCCAGGTGTAATTCACGGCGTCGAAACTGATTTTGGAGTGAACTTATTTCCCAAGGCATCGGCTTCCTGTCATACTTGATGTTTTACTTCTGTAAATTCTTGCAATTGTCAGCCAAACTTTGAATAAGAGAACGGCCATTCGACAACTCTTCAAATCGTTTCCGCTGGCTTTTTTAAAAAATAAACATCATCCAGAAGCTTCCAGAAAACAGAATGCAAATGGATATTCAAGAAAAAAACAGCACTTTACTATAGTATCAGCTAAGTATGAGTGAATAGGAAAGCGTTAGATGATCGCCATGTTACGAATTCACAAAAAAAACGAAGGAAAGAAGATATAGGTCGGTGCTGGATTCTCAGAATAAGATTCTCTCTAAGAATCAAAACACCACAGAAAAAACATATCCTTTTCACATGGAAGCAGTTCTGGTCTAAAATTACCCAAGCTGATAAACTAACGAATAATATTAGTTCTTAGACTCTCTGACAAGATATGTCCAGCTGGATACGGTTACCGTAATATAGTAACAACAATAATAACAGCAACAAGAACTCAAGAGAACTGAATGAACACAGCTTCATCGTTTACGTTTGCTGAGACTGAGTTAGAGAAAGAAAAGACGTAATTAAGTAGACTGGAATAGAAATCATTGACGAGAGGAGTATCAGAGAATAAATGTGGAGCACAGAACAAAAGATTCATAGTGAAAAATGGAAAGAAAATACTGTATAAACATGTAAAAATGTGAAAGAAACAGATTCTGGACAGAGCTGTTCGCGACTTCTTCAATTTCATGACTCCAGCCGCAAATCATGTTCAAATGAATCGATATTTAAGAAACAATGGTTTTCATAAGCAACAATGAGCTACTACTTCTTTTAGGAAGTGAGCTGGCGCTAGACGATTTCTGGAATTTACCAATGCAAATATGTTGCATAGTTCATTATAACTAAAACTAACTGAAATTCTACCATCAATTCGCACTTTGATATGCATATATGCAAACACACACACACACACACACACACACACACACACACACACACACACACGCACACACCCACAGAGACGCGCATATCCTTATATTCACTTGTACATAGGCACACATGAATATGGATACATACTTGAAGATGCACATTTTGCATTAAGCAAACTTACCATAGTGAATGACAAAACCCAATGACTTCCAGATTCTTCAACTAAAATTTGTTAGCGTTTTAGAGTTTCTGTTTCCATCCATCATCATTTACCATATAACGTGACAACATCTTTCTGTTTATATAATAATTTCTTATAAAACTCGTTTCTTTAACATACAGTTTTCTCTGGCTTGTCATGATAGGTGTTCACGGCTTCGACGTCAAACTTAAACATTTCCACAGCACATGAGTAGGCTTTTGGCGTCAGCTTGATTACGGTATGCAGTGGAACATCGAGATACGGTAATTCATCTGGACTCTTATTGGTGAAATACGCAAGGATACATCGCAATACCGTCTGAAGTAGCATAATCTTTTAGGATAACATGGATATTGCGACAAAAATGTCCCTATATAATTTTAGTTTAATCATTTAATAACAGTTAGCACAGTGTAGATAGGACGTGGTTTAGGCAAAAGTAAAAAATTATTCAAATTACGCTATTGTACACTTTCGTTCTTCAGAACGCTAAAAGAATATAGTTCAACATCGGTGCGAAGGTGAAGGTAAGGTAGGTTGGCTGGCCCTTATAGCACCTCCACTTCGCTCGTGACATCGTTCGAAACGTTCGTAATCCGAAAAGAACGCTGGTTAGCGTATGCGGAAGGATTGGTCATCAACTGATTTTGAGAAAAAAATACCTTTAGGGGAAGTTGTTTTGGTGCTGTGAATCAACTCATGCTCCAGGAGGGATTGTCTCCCTATAGTAGAGCTCTCCACTTATGGTAAGTCGATGACTATCTTAGCTCCAGAGCTGAAGAACTGGATGCTCAAGCAACTGATGCGAGTATTGGGAACTTAATGAAAGTGCAGAAATCACCAAAATTTGAGCACATTTTTTTGAAGTTGTCCTTCTTTTTTGATGACATCCGTGTCAAAAAAACAAAAGGAGGTGCAAGCAATCTGGTCGTTCATGGATAAATAAAATGGGTCGCCCTTTTTGTAATGATCAATCAATGAGGGATGCACCATGCATTCGACCTCATTAACCATCGTTCGAGGTGAATGAATGCATATTTGGCCTATATGATTCATGACTCATGGTGGCCTATCGATGTATCGAGCCATTGTTGCCATCCTCTCATACATGTCTGGTACCAATCTGCCAACTCCGGAGGGATGGAAGTCTTGGTGAGCTTGCGGCGTGGGTATCGAGCCAATGCGTATTGTAGGGCATCTCCGACCACTGCGCTACACAGACACCGATCGTATATGAATGTCAAGAATCAAGTCGTCTAGACATAAATAACGAGCACCTCGTAGGAGCCGTTAATTAATGGTTTCCTCTTAACCGGAAGACTACCAAAATGGTGGCCGACTATCTTCGTGACGACCTTGCCGATACAATGTGCAGCTCTTCACATGGCTCAATCGAAGAGGACTACTCAGCAACTTCGACGTAAGACTAGCACTTTACTTACTTATCCTTACCCGAATAAGGCAAAGAACATATATGTGATGGCATGGACCAAGCTGATTTGTGAGAAAAATAATAGAGTCTGGCTAGAATTAAAAAGTTAGGAAAATAAACAAAAAAAATTAAAAGTAAACAAAAGAACCGTAGCCAGAAATGTCCTACGATTTTGAGTTAATGTTATCAAGGAGCAGTTTATGTTAACAATTAGCCCTAACTTCTCGTTAGTTTAAGGGATAACTTGCTTTATTTATATTTACGTTTTCTCCATTCGGCTGAGATAGAGAAACTCCGTGAAAGGTTACTTTGAATAGAGAAAAAATAAAATTATCAAAAAAAAAGAGATTTTCTTAAAATTTGGTTCTCAAGTCTCATGGGAGAAAAATGGAAGGAAGCTTCCAAGGAATAGTTTACCATTTTTCAAAAATTTTGGTACAACCATAACCTTCTTCCTTTGTAAATGAGAAGAAATGAAAAAATGCCAAAACGCTTAGAACACTACTCAATGAAAAACCTGGTGGAAAGATATGAACAAACCTGGTGAGAAATGACAAGAATATTTGACTGTCTTTCCAGTTCCATAATCACGGGCTCAAGCCGTGACACCAAGTCTTCGTAGCTCTAAAAATAGCATTTCAAGAATGAGCTTATAGATTTGATAGGCTTGGAGATAGCATGTGCTTTCGAATGTTTCCAAATTTGAGAATAGAATATGAGTAAAAAAGTAATCATAACTGAATAATAGCAAAAAGATCGTGTTCAACCTCTCCACTTGGATACCGGAAGTGGTATTTGTCATTTTCACGTTCAGCGAACTGCTTTGGATATCGTGTCTGGAAATCGTCGTACGTCAAGCCTTCACAGATACCCTGTAAGATTAACAGTTATCTGATATAAAAGACAAAATCAAGAGAAAAAAGTAGTTAATGTGACATGAGTGGAATGCGATAATTTTGGGACAATTTGTCTCAGAGATCCCATGGTGATGGTCGAAATCTTTAATCAGCGACCAATTTATTCAGAAGTTCAAGTAAAAGTTTAGGTAAACATTTGTTAGTTGCCTGATTGTACAGAGGGCTCTAGTGAGCATGGTCGACTTCTTGTGATATATTCTAGAGCACCACCCTACCTGCCGCACCTGACCCCGCCTGCCCAGAAGCGAATGATTTATTCCAACGTCAAAACTAAAGACTGCTAGTGAATTAAATATAGTAGTTCACCAATCATATAACATAAAATTGGTAATAATCTGTCATTCTATGCGGTTAGTAAACGATGGATAGTGCAACATCATCTGTAAAGAAGAACATGGGCGCTAGCCATCTCTTGCAGCTGTTCGCGTTCAGCTGGAAATGCCATTTTGAAGCCACTGAAATGTTTTTAGAAAATACTCACCCACTTAATTAGCTGCGAGCTAAAAGAGCACTATCAAGGGCTTTGAGAAAGAAAACACACATCGAGAGTTAAGGACGTTCAAATAACTATTGCAATACAAAGAATGAAAGCTTAATCGTTATCGAGTTGCAAACTGATAAACATGTTTTTGGTTGGATGCATTTAAAAAGTTTCGAGTTTTTTAATCCATTGAAATATTATTTCAGATATAACTAGATAGATAGATAGATAGCTGAAGGACAGGCCAAACGATGGACCGGCATGCTGCAGTGGTGAACGCGTTAGCGCACAGAAAGAGTAATAGCGCTTTCGTTCCCCATCGCAAGCACCTGTGGTCCGGAGTTTTCAAATATCTCAGCGTCACTGTGGTTGCATTTTGCAGATATTTTACCTAAAATGGGATTGTGCGGCACTCGAAGAGTGCCATGGTGTGACAAACAGCAATGTTCACGGATCACGGGAATTATGTTCAAACTGTTGTTGTATATAGTGGATGAACACCCGCGTTGTTATTTAATATTACACACTTATCAGACCAAAAAAGTGCTGAGAATTATGACGTAAGTTGAAGAAAAGTGAAAAAGTCTAGGAATATCATAAAAATTACTAAGTTGATGAATAAGAACACTGACTACATCGATGTCATCCAAAACTTTCCAGTACTCGATGTGAGTACTACACTCTTGTAGAGATGCTGCCGTTTGAACGGCTCGAATTCGTTGAGACGACCAAACACAAAACTTGTTGGCGCATTCGCCCTAGAAAGATTCTACTAGCAGATGGCTAAAAAATCGTTGAGGAGAATAATAGTGAAATAAAAACTAGATTCCATAGCTTAAAACAAGCACATAATTTGTGAATAATTGAAAATCATTCACTGAGCTAAACGCCGCGGTGGTGAGGATATTCTCATGTTATGTCATCACTGCGGATACTAGAGGTTATTTGAGCACAGAAGCATGAGTTAGAGCACCAGGCACCGATTTTCCGCTTATGACTCTTATTTTATATACAATATTGTTACGTTCACGTGCGGCGCAGTAGCAAAAGGGGCGTGTGGAGCAGTGGTTGGAGGCGCAATTGCGACACACACGTGGAATCGATTCCCGCGCCCATGGCCTACCAAGCCTTCCATCCCTCCGGGGTCGACAAATTGGTACCAGACTTGTCTGGGAGGATGGCAGTACTGGTTCGAAACATCGGTAGACCACCGCGAGTGATTGTAAAGGCCAGATATGCATTCAATTACCTCCAAACCATGCTTAATGAAGTCGAATGCATGGCATTCTCAGGGATTGATAAACGCCGAGAGCTTTATCGTTTTTTATTGTTATAGTCAGCCCTATAATTATAATTTGTTTAAAAAGCCAAGACCAATTATCTCAACACCCGCTTTTTCTTTGGTGGAAATAAAGAAGACGGACGATTACTGGAAAAATTTGAAAGCAATTATATATGAAACAGTCAGAAATAAAATAATTTGCTTTATATGGTAACCATGGAGAAAAGTCAACACATCTTAATATTCAATAAGCAGATTGTGGCGGTGAACAACTACAACAGTACGGAAATTAAGAGCACTTTATCATATTTTAAAGTGACATCCACCGTCTTAAAGCAAAGAAAAGTGTATTGCATTGATCATCTTAAAATGACCTTAGACTTAGTAAAAAGGGTAAGAAGCGGGTCACCGCTGAGCTTGAAAAAATACTTTCGTGGACAATGGAAGCGGGGAAACGATTTGGATATGAGAAGAGCTGAGATCCGCACAGTTGAAGTGAAGACCTCCCAACGGTTTACCGCCTCAACGTGGCTCGGAGATGTTCCTGGGTGTCGGACTGCGATGTATATCGGAGAGATTCGTCCCCCCGGCAGGGTCTCCCAAGGAGAGAAGGAGTCCGGCGTCTCCACCAGGAAGCCTAGCTAAGAGCAAACCAATACCAGGATCCGCCACTGTCCTGGTATCAAAGTAGCATGGTGGTAAATCTCCCTCTGATCCACAAGGGGTGCGACTTTGGCCAGGCTGTTCTCGGGATTCCAGGAAACCACAATGGCTTAACCAGCAAATCTCTGAAATATAGTGATTATGCTGGAGCCTGCACAACTAGTGAGGATGGGCCGTTCAAGTAAGTATCAAGTAAGTAACCCAAATAAAAAATAAAAAAGGATGAAAACACAGTGGAGTTTATGGCGGTATATACAAGACAAGGATATTTCTGATAGATACATATATATTTAATTTTTAAAATTTTAGGAAGTATTTAGAAGACTCACCATGAAATAGTCTTTTAAGCGTTCTGCAAATTTCACACCGTTTTCGCTTAATGGGCTATCACCTCCTAGTCGACCTATCCGATTGTATTCACTTTCGCCGTGCTGGTAAAGAGAAATAGACGATTGTGTTTGAATTACATGAAAATATTACGATCACTTTGAGTAAGTTTTGCATATAAACGACATATGTTGACAATCAAAACTGCGTAATCGCCTTTTATCTACTGTTCATTCTACTTTTCTTGGCAGTATGCGATGTGAAATACATCAAATACAAGTGTAATGATGCTGAGATATTTGCAAAACCCCGCTCTGCAGTTGTCTGCAACGAGGACCGAACCCTCGCCATTACCTTTTCTGAAAACTAACGTGTTCACCACCACACCATGCGGTTTTTTCGCCGCTCAGCTAGTTCTATCGATCATCACCATAAGCAATCACCTGTTAACGGGATTGATTAGGTGAGCAGAAATCGGTATTCAATGTAGTTAAGCTGAAGCTACCGCCTGAAACACGGCTAAGAGAAGAGCGAAACAAAGGACATGCGTGATTTTGTGGTGAACGAGTTTGCTCCTGAAAGGGTCGTGGCGTGTTCACTCCCAACCGCAGATACCTGCTACCCGGAGTTCTGCAAACATCTCAGCAACATTGTACTCGAAACAGTTTTTGTTGCATAAGATTTGATTTGTACCCGAGCCAAATAGATGGAACGTGGAAGAAGATGGATGTTCATCAGGAAATAGACCACACGGCTCTGTACGTGTCCTTTCACATTCTGCACATAGAACGACTTGCCGGCGTTGAACACCTGAACTTCATTTACCTTTACTCGTTCAGGAAGCCGATCATTAAATGCTAACGTAAAGTACAGTGGCCATCTTCAAAAAATTACAATTCTATTTTTAGCTTTAAAAATTCTAGTATGTAGCGGTTACACAGAGCTACAAATGATAATCAACAAAAGCTAAACTTTGATAGCTTGTTCGAAATGCAAGACAACACCCGACTCTCAAGTCAGCCTAGCTGTCGCGTGGGTCACCTAAATTTCATGTCAGTTAAGGACATTCTGGCTTTCTTACAATGAGCGCTAATTTTCCGATAAGTAGAGCAATTAGGAGATTGGCGAGATGACAGAATTATAGGATACACTTTTCTCTATCGCTCAGGCTGTGGAGGGAATGTATGATACTATGTAATAGGTGTTATTTTGGACCAACACGCAAACATATTGCCGTTAGTATTTAGAGGTATTTTAGAGCTAACTTTGACTCCTTTTTGGCATTTTTTATATCTCCCCATTTCATACGATAAGCATGATTTGTAGTAGGAGTTGGGATGAAATAAATGTCGACTATCACTCGAATTAACTCAAATTCGCGGTCCTTGATTTCGTCCGATAATAGATTTTTATATATTATTAAGGGTAGCGCATAGATTTTCAAAAGCCACCACTAACCAAATGACTGTGGCCCACATGCCATTACCTTAATAGAATAACTGCGGTAAAACGAAACTATGTTGTAGAATAAGCCACCCAAAAAGATATGCATTGGATGCAATGCGCTTTGTCCATTTTACTCCATACATGTGCAGTATAGAATGCATGGCAGACAAAGTGTGTTAATGTCAGCCACGAACTGAGCACGATTCACATTAATTTAATTTTAAAGTCAACCGACAAATGACATCAAATTCTACCCGCACTGGCAGAGATTTAATAGCGGTGTTAAGTGCTGATCTAATCATGGAAATGATCATCAAGTGTAAGTTCCCGGACCTTTCAAAGCAATTCTTGTTCCCAGGATCGACTTTCTATTAATCTCGGCATTAGAATATGAATGCGTCATTCAATCGCGAGGTTTCCGAACAGCATACATTTACCTCCGTAGAGAAACACAATACAATAGAACACTAGCTGACGTTTCGGCAGTATCGCCTTCTTCAGAGCCTGGAAGTGTACCCTGATACACAATCTACAAGGCCAAGCGCTTCAATAACACTTAGAAAAAGACGAAAAACTGGAAATTAGGCGATCAACAGCTTTTCGAAAAATTCACTGCTTTTTACGTGACTTCCAATGAGGGAGTTTAGAACAGCTGATTTTAGTCGCATGTGGTTGATAACTGCACCACCCCGCATCAGAAACTGATGAAAACATGCAGGGTCAACTCGAGTATGACCTCTGGGCATTCAACCCCGCTATTCATTGCAGGGTTTTTGGCATTTATCCAAAACCCTCAAAAAGTTTTCGCGCTGATGTTTTAGTCTCCTGTGCAAGGGTATTGACTTTTACTTCAAATTCGTCTCCGCCATGCTTTTGTATCCTATGCGTCCCTAGTGGGGTACTTTGTCTTAGTTTTCGTTTGCCAACTAGGTGTTCTTTTATACGGATACACAAAGGCCTGCCTGTTTCGCCAATATATTCATCTCTGCAATTATTACAAGAGATCAGGTATATCGCACCTGAATTCATGCAATCACCGTCCCTGCCGTAAGGGTAAATTATGCAATTTGTCGTTTCACATAGACGGTCATACAGGCGGTTACGAACTAATTGACGACGTAAAGCAGCCGGTGATATTTCAACAATCGCAACTGATTCCTCTAGACCTGCCCTTCTTAAGCATCGTTTAATAGCTACGCTTAATTCATCGCTTATAAAAGGCAGCATAAACAGGACTTTCTTCTGGCCAAGTGTTTCGCAGAGGCGCACCGCTTTCCTTCTAAACTTGTCTCGTGGGGTTACTATTTCGTAGCCATTGGAGATGGCTATTTGTCGAGCCAAGTTGCGCGACTCTTCCTTTAGTTACCTGGTAGTGCACACAGAGGTGACTGTTCAAAACATGTTTCTCACAATCGCCCTCAATGTGTGTGAAGGGTGGGAAGGAAATGAACAAGAATGTTCTTTCTACTTGGCTTTCGGTACCACTTTGTCAGCTAACCGCTGCTTGATAGGTTTATTTGAACGTTCAAAAACGGAAACCAGTTTTTTCTCGGTTTTTCCCGGGTGAACTTTATGTACTCCGACTGCTCGCTCAATAATTCAAAGCATTTATCCGTCTCCTCCTGCGTAGAGAAGACGACAAAGCAATCATCTACATATCTGCAGTAGAGTAGTGGCCGGAGATCGAAAACGGGGGCTTCTATCTTGGACTTAAACACAATGGCAAGGCTTGGGGCCAATCGCTGTCACATTGCCAATCCCCTTATTTGTGCGAAATATTTCCCAAACCATCTGAAAATCGAGCAGTTTAGGCACTCCTTTAAGAGAGCCATTAGCTGCTGGATGGAGAAGCCATGCATATTTATTCTTCCTTCATGTTCAAGAAGAAGTTCGAAGATGGCTTGCATTGCGGAGTCATTCGATACGTTGGTGTACAGTGCGGTAACGTCGAAATACTCTATCGCGTACGCGTTAATAGGAGACGCGTTACGTATACGTTCTAGGAACAGTTGGGTGTTTGTGAGGTGAGCTGGAATGTGGTTAAGCAATATTGATATTGGTCAATATTGATATGCGATTTTTTTAGATCTAATGCCAAATAACCCTACAACGAAAATTCGAAAATCTTTTGGGTAATTCACACGTCTCAGCTCCAAAAAACAACCGCAAACGATTTCCTTACGCTTTTGATAGTAGTCAAAATGGGGTTGATAATGCACCAAGAAAATCTAGGGTCACCGTGATTGGGGGCATAACAATACCTGAGAGTGCACGCTCGCTATTAGAATTGGGCCCAAGTTTTGCACCATCACAGCCCATTTCTAAAACGACCCTGCGTAGGATAGCATGCAACCTTTATGAGCTTCAAGATCGACTCCGCTATCAGGCCAAGCAAGAAACATCAAATAGTGGTAAAAATCAAGAGGCGAAGACACTACCACCATCTCCTTTCCCAAAAAGTTTTTTAGTCAGCAGGACTCTAACGATGGAGTTGACATAAAATTCCGCATGTTTTCGGACGGCGTTCTCAAGACCTTTGATCACTACAGCGATAGAAAGTTTATCTCTAACCTTACAGCCGCACAAAAATGTGGCAAGCGGGAAATTAGAGAATTAATAAACTCGAAAACAATAAGATTGCCAGTTAGTGATAAGGAGGGAGAGTTCGTAGTTATCCCTCGCCGGCTGGATGTTGAGATAACAGAGGAACATCTTAGTGATGCTAGTCTCTATCGCCCATCCTCTGAAAAGGAATATAAAAGTCAATACCGAAAGCTAAACAATCAATGGGTCAGTGTGGCAAAGGCCGCGGGTTTGAAATCATCGGTTATTTCGCACTTTAAAATCGATAGACCAGCATGTCCCGTCCTATACCTACTTATTAAAACACATAAATTGGTATCACCTGATGATCATGCGTTAGCCAATCCGTCATCATCTAAGGTTAGACCGATCATCAGCTGTGTAGACGGGCCAACAGATAGAATAACCTGGTTTTTAAGCCTGATACTTACCCAGTTGCTTAACCACATTTCAGCTCACCTCACAAACCCCAAATGTTCCTAGAACGTGTACGTAACTCGTCTCCTATTAACGCGTACGCGATGGACTATTTCGACGTTACCGCACTGTACACCAATGTGTCGAATGACTCCTCAATGCAAGCCATCTTCGAACTTCTTCTTGAACACGAAGGAAGAGTAAATATGCATGGCTTCTCTATCCAGGAGCTAATGGCTCTCTTAAAGGAGTGCCTAAACTGCTCAATTTTCAGATCGTCTGGGGAAATATTTCGCACAAATGAGGGGGTTGGCAATGGGACAGCGATTGGCACCAAGCCTTGCTATTGTGTTTATGTCTAAGATAGAAGCCCCCCGTTCTCGATCTCCGACCCCTACTCTACTGCAGATATGTAGATGATTGTTTTATCGTCTTCTCTACGCAGTAGGAGATGGGCACATGCTTTGAATTATTGAACGAGCAGTCCGAGTACATAAAGTTCATCCGGGAAAAACCGAGAAAAAACTGGCTTCACTTTTTGGACGTTCAAATAAACCTATCAAGTAGCGGTTACCTTACAAAGTGGTATCGAAAGCCAAGTAACAAGAACATCCTTGTCCATTTCCTTTCTTCCCACCCTTCACACACAAAGAGGGCGATTGTGAGAAACATGTTTTGAAAAGTCACCTCTGTGTGCACTACCAGGTAACTAAAGGAAGAGTCGCGCAACTTGGCTCGACAAATAGCCATCTCCAATGACTACGAAATAGTAACCCCACGAGACAAGTTTTGAAGGAGAGCGACGCGCCCACGCGAAACACGGCCAGAAGAAAGTCCTGTTTATGCTGCCTTTTATAAGCGATGAATTAAGCGTAGCTATTAAACGATGCTTAAGAAGGGCAGGTCTAGAGGAATCAGTTGCGATAGTTGAAATATCACCGGCTGCTCTACGTCGTCAATTAGTTCGTAACTGCCTGTATGACCGTCTATGTGAAACGACAAATTGCATAATTTACCCTTACTGCAGGGACGGTGATTGCATGAGTTCAGGTACGATATACCTGATCTCTTGTAATAATTGCAGAGATGAATATATTGGCGAAACAAGCAGGCCTTTGTGTATCCGTATAAAAGAAGACCTAGATGGCAAACGAAAACTAAGGCGAAGCACCCCACTAGGCACGCATAGGATACAAAAGCATAGCGAAGACGATTTTGAAGTGAAAGTCAATACCCTTGCACAGGAGACTAAAACACCAGCGCGAAAACACCTTGAGGCTTTTTGGGTAAATGACAGAAACCCTGCAATGACTAGCAGGGATGAATGCCCAAAGGTTATACGCGAGCTGATCCTGTATATTTTCATCAGTTTCTGATGCGGTGTGGCCCAGTTATCAACCACATGCGACTATAATCAGCTGTTCTAAACTCCCTCATTGGAAGTTACGTAAAAAGCGGTGGGTTTTTCGAGAAGCTGTTGATCACCTAATTTCCATAGTTTTTCGTCTTTTTGTAAGTGTTATTGAAGCGTTTGGCCTAGTAGATTGTATATCAGTATATCCTTCCAGGCTCTGAAGAAGGCGATACTGCCGAAACGTCAGCCAGTGTTGTATTGTATTGTGTTTCTCTATGGAAGTAAATGTATGCTGTTTGAAAACCTCGCGATTGCTGAACAAGAAAACGACGGAATTCTTGTTTTTTTTTCTTTTTTTCTTTATTTCGAAACCGACTTTCCTTGAACAGCTGTGTGACTAGTTAATATGCATTCTTTCTTTGATGGGCTTACACGAGGTTGATAATTATATTTATTTTCGGCTAACGTTTCGACGTCTTCGTCTTCCACAGAGCCGATGATCCGAGTCGATAGTCCACGCTTGTTGTTCGGAAAACCCGCTGAGGAAGACCTGACTCGACACAAAGGCGAAGCTGCCACGTGGAGACGAATAACAAGCGTGGACGATCGACTCGGATCATCGGCTCTGAGGAAGACGAAGACGTCGAAACGTTAGCCGAATATAAATATAATTATCAACCTCATCAAAGAATGAATGTATCTTGTTTTATTGTACTGAGGTACTTATAAATGTTATCTTCTGTCCAAGGAAAACGTACCTTTACGGCGATAGACGAGAAAATATTTCACTGGTTATTCTGTTCCAAAAGAGGAGACGATTAGATAGCAATGGACTCGAGCAAATTCTCCCACTTAAACTACCTAGGTGGAATCGTCTGTAAGTCGCTTTAAATCACGATTGATGACATCCTATGCAAGTCAAGATTCGAAACCCCGGTTATCTTACACCGCAAATTAGAGGAACACTGTTCTGCTTGCTAAGCACTGTGGTTCGAGAACGGATCTTGAAAATAGGCCTGATTATTCACCTCATTTTGAGCAGTTTTGCGATAGCGTAAAGTTTAAGGAAGATGGAGGTTGTTAAAAAGAATGCTAGCATGAGATTACCTTTATAAAAGAGAGATCACTGTCCAAGTGTTCATCTAACGGCTCGTACTGCAGCTTGTAGTTTTCGATCCTTCTCAGAAAGTCCGCTGTAGCCTCTTCATGTGACATAATATCCTTGTAGTCGGGTGAGTTGATTTTCACCTCCTAAAAAGAGGTATTGACCGAGGAGAAAGCAAAACATAGGGCAAGATAGAGAACCCATCCGCAAAAATCTCACGGTGATATTCGTGTTGACGATGTGTTCATCTTCGCAAACACTTTCTATGAAGAAAACCCTAAACGGTGGGTAGAACATAGGATTCCTGCAATAGTCGACAATCAACCGACGCCTATCTCTGGTGGTATTCGTCGCGTCCAGTATCTGAATCGCAGCACTTCCTCCATTTTAGATTCTTTCTCATGCAGCAATGTTTCATATGTATTAAAATTGAATAGCTAGAGGACCTTAACCAAAAAAATTACACTCACAGCCACTTCCCCTTCTTTTGACGACAAATAATGGCCCATATCTTCAATAGCCAATCGAGCACACTCGCTGCAGGAAACAAATCAGTACAAAAAAACAGTAATAAACGTCTACTCATTTTCCTTCCACCGATTTTTCTTACGACTACAGGGAAATAGTGCTGTTCTGCCAAGAACATCTCAATCAATAAAATTATGCTGGAGATCGAACGAAACAAGTCTTTGTGAAAACCACTGATTCAAATATAAGCATGCATTTTTGACTTCGCATGTTCAAGGTGAAGGCACTGGTTTCCGCCTGTGGAGACCAAGGAGATCTGAAGAACCCTGCTAGTAGTAGTAGCCTTATTGAACTCGATTAGAGCATCCATTAGATATTGTTAAACGTATATAACTGGAAAGATTCCTGAACTTGATCGGATACTATTCGAGTTTCATAAGCGGTGAAGATATTCACGAAACATGACCACCATCCAGTATCGTTACGAATGTCAATGCACTGGTAAATTCATTCCTGATCGGGAAGGATAAACACGACGACAAGTTGCGATAGTTACAGTCTTAAAAAGCAGCACACATTCATTTTCGACCACCGTTTTTTCAACAAATCATGATTCATCAATGTGGAATCTTTGAAGAAATGTGGTGAAAACGGATAATGGAAAGAGTTATTATTAGTTCCCAAGATCGACTTTCTCTTAACCTCGGCATTGGAATATGAATGTGTCGTTTTCTTGCTCAGCAATCGCGAGGTTTTTAAACAGCATACATTTACTTCCATAAAAACACAATACAATACAACGCTAGCTGACGTTTCGGCAGTATCGCCTTCTTCAGAGCCTGGAAGGGTATACTGATATACAATCTACTAGGCCAAACGCTTCAATAACACTTACAAAAAGACGAAGAACTCTCCGGTAATTACACAATCAACAACTTCTCGAAAAACCCACCGCT